ACAAGAAACTGTTGTTCTTAAAGATAAAAATGTTCCCAAAAAATAATAACAATAATAAATAAAAGGAAAATGACAATCTATTTGGCTACATTGTTCAGCCCATTTTCTAGTTCTTGAGAAATAAAATGAGAACATAGATTATATGGATTAATATTTCCTATACTGTCGGTGTTGAATAAATGATAATTATGCAAAATTTGAATTTGAAATTCAACTTCTGCACATGTGTCATGAATTCAATGGTGATAATGTATACACTGTCAGTATATATAAGATTGATTCATATATATTTGGAAGTTTTCAAGTACATCAAACTTAAAGGAATTTTAACAACTCATATCAAGACTATACTACTACTCCAAATTTGAATGCCTTTTCTAATGTCATTGAGGGTATTTGTGTAACAACAATGTTGCGGTTTGATATTAAATAGAGAATCAATTGGATTAGGAAGATACTACATAAATGTTCATTTGTAAAAAAAGAAAAGTAAACTAAACAGGAAATCTCAAAAACAAGAAAGTTGGTTTTATCTCAAAAAAAAAAAAAAGCAAAACAAATTTGTGTTAGAAAACATTCATGATTCTAAACTTCTATGAATCTAACCATAACGATGCAAGAACGGATCAAGTCATCAATCATCTACTTGGGGCCTTTCTTGTGAATTTAGACATTTGGTCCACTGCACCGCATTGGCCCTCTCTTGTTTATCAACCTTTTTTTTTTTTTTTTTTTTGACTCTTCCCTCCTCTAAGAATCACCTCTAAGAGTCATGAACCTGATAGTAGGAAAGACTCTAAAAATCCTCTCTTAACCATTGAACTAGTTCGAGTGATTATCTCTTTGTTTATCATCATAATGATCATCATGCAATTATGTATAAACATCGGATGTTAAATAAGTATGATCTTTTGTATAATTAAAGCACTACAATATCACAACCCCACTATTCCATGTTAATTCACTCAAAACAGCCTCTTTCCAAATTTTTATTTCGTATCATGCAATTCCTGATCTTAGAGCCACCTGTGAGATAGGATACTCAATTAGAGCAATGAATTGTATGTTTAAGTACACTATTTTTTTTCCTTATTATTCACGTTTAAGTACACTTATCTTCCAGCTAAACTTTTAAAAAGACCTCATTCCTTATGTTATAACAACTCATTTCAAGGCAATTTATGTCCCCTCCCCAAAAAAAACCCTTTTTTTTTCTGCTTGTTGGGACGGGGCAGTGGGGAGTGCAAGAGACACCGGATTTTATTGGTTTTCTTACTCTATAATTAAGAGGAATGGGCATGAGCAACTAATATCTCTCAAAGTGGAGGGGATGGAAGGTGGAACCCAACAAATAGAATTAACACATTGTATGTTACGGGAAGAAATTCTTAAAGATGAATAATTTGAATTCATTTATATCCTTTTCGTATGATAGCGTTATGGGAAGACTTCTAAAGCAAAATTGAAGAAAAATTTCTTGAATGGGTTTATACAGGAATAGGAGGGAGTTTTGAGGATAATATTAGTTATATAGTCTAACTAAGTTGGACTCAAGAAAGAAAAGTGTTGTTATTATTGTGATTGGTAACTCCATTTGTATCTCACTCGATATTTTCTTTTTGTTCTGACGTTGGTAAAAAACAGTAAGGGTTGTGCACTTTACACTTCAATAATGGTGCAAATGTATTCATGTTTAAGTGATCGGGATATGTATAATCTTCTTATGGAAACTAAGATTTACATTTTTTTTGGGTCATTTCTGGTGAGGGCTTCAGAGGACTACCCTTTTGAGGATATTGTTTGTTGAATATTTTTTGGTTTAATTGGGTTTAGTTAGGAAGCTCCAAATTCATATATTTGCATAGAAAAACTCAGGTGGAGCTAAAATTAATAACTTAAGATGCTACGGTAGCACTCTCAGGGGTATGCAACTTGAAATTCTGAATTCAAACCTTCATTTGCTTCACCAGTAGATTTCTAATTCTTATCTCACAACTAGGGAGGAACACCGCGCGGGAATTTGGTGCTTGTGATTTCAAATAATTAATAATTATTGTTTAATATTTTGTAGTATAGGAACTAAAGTATGATGATTTTATCATGTGATTTTAATAGAAAATCATAAGTTACATAGTGAGTCAATAAAAATAATGTGCAATGAGACATCCTTATCGTTATAATATGGGTAAAAAATAAAAAAAACCCCTGTGGTTAACCTAATACATAGAAAGCCCTCCATGCGTTTCAAAATATACAACACGACCTCTCATGCTTTGAACTAAATTGTAAGGTGACGGAATCCGTTAAACTTAACGGAAATGGACGAAATGACCAAAATGTACTGATATAATTAAGCAAAAAACAGTTCAAAAAAATCATTTGTTTTATTCTCTAAGTAGAGATAATTGAGAGTTAAGGGGTAGAATAGATATATTTGATAAAAATTAGGCATAAAATTTTTTTTTAGGTTCCAATAAGTCATTTCCGTTAAGTTTAACGGATTCTGTCACCTTTATAATTTAGTTTAAAGCATAAGGTGTCGTATTGTATATTTTGAAACCATATGGAGTTTTTTTCTGTGTATTAGACTTACCACAGGGGGTTTTTTTGTTTTTTACCCTTATAATATATAAGAATCCGTTATGATCAAAGGTTATGTTTGAATTTCAACTGCAAAGATAAGGGTAGTTTGAAAATATAAGAATATTTGAAGTACAATTGAAAAGTATCCAAAGGTCTCTTCTAAAACTTATCCAAGATAATAAAATATTTTAAAGTATCAATTGGATCCTTCATCTCTCGAATCTATATATGTTCGTGAAAGATCCCTCAAGCAATGCTTTTGATTTCTCCCCTCGACTTAAGCTCAACCTGAATTATCAAGTCAAGTTTATCCATCAATCACTTTGCGTCCAATCTAATCTAAAATAATTTTATTTTGACTAACTATTTATATAATTTGGTGGGCATAATACGACTTAATCACATGTTTCTTACAGAGATAATAATGCCCAAAAATGATAGATAGATAAGAAACTTAAGTGGTCTTTTTGGTATTTTTTGCTAGGGCATTTCTTTATAATCTCATAAATAAGTTTAAATCTGCATAATTGTTAAAGATCTGAATTGGAACTATCTTGATTATAAAAAATTGGTGCAAATAATATTTTCTAAATTTGAAATTGTAGAAAATGGTAACTAAAATCAGAAAAAATTCTTCATATGAATTCGAATTGCAAACTATAGGTAGAAACTGCTTAATAATATTTGCCAATGTTTACTTGTATAAGTATCCAATATAGCATCTCTACTTAATTGACTCGTTTGAACTATGGATAATAGTTGCTTCAATCAAATCAAGAAACATTATTTATCATTGTACAACATACAATTATGAGTAAATGAATTAATACAATGCAATCAAATGGTGTTGTAGCTAAAGCATTTAAACTCATCAAGCTCCACTACAAATTCTTTTAGATAGCATAAAAAGTAAATTTTTTGTATTTGAAACTATATAAACAGTAGAATACAAGAACGAGATCATAACATGGAAAGCAAATAGAGTGCAAATGACATCTTAGTACTATGTAGCATGATTAATTTTCTTTTTTAGTTTCAATGAAGTACAAAATTCTAAGTTAATAAATTTTACAATCATAAAATTCACGATTAAAATAAACGCAAGCTGAATTCCAAATCATATTACATGAAAAAAAAAAACTACTTGAACCATAATTGCTGGAATGTAGTCAACATATCCCTGGAGTCAAGAACAATAGGAGAAAATTCATGAGAAATAAGGTTATTTGGCTTAAATAAAGAGATAATACCTTGGCCGAGGAGGAGAAGATGATCAAATTGCTTTTCTGATTATTTTAGAAAGTGACAACATTATTTCAAATTATACTTTGACCAGAGACAGAATCTCTGGGATCTACTAAGGAAAACAATACAATTAGTCAGTTTTTGGAATTAGAAGTATCAAAAAGCAAACTATATGGAGTTCTTGAATAAACCAATGATCAGAAAAAAAAAAAACTACAATCGAAGAATACAAACCAACACAACTCACCTCAATTTAAAGAAAAAGCTACGCATTCCACCAAATATTTAATAGCCATAATAAAACCAAAGGGGTGAAACCGAAAAAGAGAGAGAGGGTATCATCTAAACATGGGGGCATAATATATGATAATGATTGTTCATATAATAATTAAGTTAATTAATTGTAATTAAAATCCAATTATGTAAACATCCAATTAATTCCTTAACGGATGAGAAAGGTTTCAGGAAATTAGAAGGCTTAGATGTTAGTATAATAAATGATTAAAAGGGCTTTTATGTAATTCTATCAAAACACAAGCTTAATTCAGTTGTACTTGATACTCAACTTGGCACCAAACATTATAACATACCAAACCTGCCCCTAACCTTAAATGTCTGAAAGGTTATATAAGTAATTATAGTGAAATTAAAGCTATATTGACTTGTACTCAATGTTCCAATTACACTTTAAACACTCTCACATTCCCAAAATAGCCCCACTCTTGCGGTTGAAATCTAAAAACCTAAACTCGTTCTTATATAGTGTAAGGATATATATTTGCAATTTTTTTGTAACCATATAACTATTGCTTTCCCAAGTTGCATGCATAATTAAGCAAGCCTTCATGATACGTAAAGCATAATCTATACGTATACACACACAACACACTAGAATTCTGATTTTTTTTTTTCAAAAACGATAACATATTCCATTTCCAGAAAACTAATTATACGGTTGGAGCAACTGCTCTTATATCTTTTTTGCTAAACTAGTAAGCCATAATGGAAAAGATTCCTTCCAACTAATTTCATCATACAGGCTTATGGCAAATTTTGCCAGCTTGTGAGACACACAATTACCATCTCTTTTTAACAAATGAGAAGTAACATTCATCAAAGCCCTCCGGGGTTGGAACTGGTAGTAGTAGTCCAGTTGGATGAGTACCATCGTCAAGGTTTCGACTCCCGTACTATCATGGTTGGTCATGTTTGGGTGAACCTCTCCCAATCACGCAGTGGAATTAGTTGGACTGTACGATAATCAGTCCACGGGCCCAGATACCCATTATGTTGACAAAAAAAAAAAAAAAATAACATTCATCAAACCCTTGACTTAGCATCAGTATATCAGCATTCCTATCCTTGAGCTTATCAACCATCTGTTTACAATCAGATTGGATCACCACTTTGTTCCAGCGCCTCTGCTTTGCCTTGATACAGCTTTTTGATTGCTAAGGCTTCCTCCACTGTTGGGTTTCCGTCCCTCCTTTCACCTCCTGCCCAAGCTCCAACTATCTTTCCATCCTCCCTTCTGGCCACTACCCCCCCCCCCCCCCCAAGCCTATTCTTCTTTCCTTTTGCTCCAAAGCTGCATCAGAGTTTAACTTGATAACCCCCTGTGGGGGTGGATACCATCTACTCGATTCTGCCACTTGTTTTTTCCCATTTTCCTCTGTTTTGTCCTCTCCAACTGCCACTCGATTCTGCCACCGCCGCCGTCGCCGAGGCTGCTCTTGCTGCCGCTCAGGCAGCTGCAGAGGTCGTCAGGCTGGAACTGTTTCCTTTACTCCTCCGGGCAGCAGTGGCAGAGACTGGCGGCAAGAAGTGGCGGCTATTGGGATTCAGTCGGCTTTCAGAGCTTACCTGGTTAGTGTTTTTTTCCAGCAAAGTTTGAGCTTTATTCGGCCCTTTTACAGAGACTTTCTTTCTCAAGCTAATAAGCTGAAATGCACTTCAAACTCTGAACCAACTTTGGATCATCAAAATCAGCATTTTTCCGACATGGATTTTCTCTTTTATCCTCCTAATCTTTCAGGGATTCTGTAAAGTCTTCACTTTGCAGCACAATCAGTGCTAGATCTGCGCAGAGAACAGCATTAATGATATCACAGTGACGGTAAAGTGTGAATTCCTTGTTAGCGCAAATTCTGCTTTCTTTTCGTGGATTTTGCACTAAAATTTGTGTGTTATTTGCAGTAGTGTATGTTAATAAAGGACTTTGGATTATATTTCTAATCATGATTTAACTGAAAGAGAGAGCGTTCTTGATTGGAACGTGCTTAATTTGGGGGTTCTAGTGAGAATGGAGTATCAAGTTTTATTTATTTATTTTTTAAATCCAGAAACAAACATCAGACTTGAGCTTTTTAAACTATGGTGCAAAGGTGAAATGGCCGAAAATTGTGATCATTTGTGTCAAATCAAGACGAGTCTCTCTTCCGCCTTGGTTGGTTGCATTCCATTTCTGATGAACTGATTTATATGGATATGGATAAACAACTCAAATCTATAAATATGATTTATTTAAATGGTCATCCATATCTATTTAAACTTGTTTATTAGGATGGATAAGTGGATATGGATTCAAATTGCCATTTCTAATTGTTGATGACTAAATTCCATAAAAAAAAATTGGAAAAAAATCCTTCAATTATCCTAAATTGTTTCAAATTGGATATTTGGGGATTAGAATTGCGTTTGTTGATATTTTAAGGACTAAAACTCCACACGGATAAAAATGCTATTTTCTTGCCTAAATTTCCAAAAACTCGAGCTAATTTCGAGCTCGAGTTCGAACTAGAAATCGAGCTAAATTCGAGCGAAATGCAAGCCAGAAAATCGAGTGAAAGTCGAGCTGCTCACGAGCCAGAATTCGAGCTAGGCTCGCGAGCCATAAGTGAGCCATAAGTGAGTCGATCTCGAACTTGCCTTTTCTTAAATCGAGCCGAGCTCGAGCTTCATTTTACGAGCTCGATGAGCTCGAGCTCGAACTCGAGCTTGCATATAAATTAGTCTAGCTCAACTCGATAATTTTAAAATTCGACTCAGTTCGGCTCGTTTGCACCCTTAGTGTGAACCACATGGTACCGCCATGTCATTTCTCTCCCTTCTTTCAACATCACGCATGTTAAAAGCGTACATGGATGTGATTGGCTGATCTGCGCACATTATTTGTATTAGCGGTAGGGTCGTGCAGTACAGTCCTACCGCTAAAACAAACAATGTGTGCGGACTAGCCAAGGGTGTGATTGGCTGGTCCGCACACATTATTTGTATTAGCAGTAGGGTGTGGATTGGCTGGTCCGCTCATATTATTTGTATTAGCAGTAGGGTCGTGCAGTATACTTTTAGCATGCGTGGTGTTGAAAAAATGGAGAAAAATAACGGGGCAGTACAATGTAAGCCAGCTACTAGATTGGACAGACTTTTCTTTTTTCCGAGTAGGGGAGTGATTACACAAACTATTTAAGCTAATATATGTTCTAAAAGAATTTTAACAAGCACAAGAAAATTTTCTTAAAATGCCCAATTATTTTAGTGGAATTTTTTGCACGAAATATTTGTCTGACAAAAAAAATTTACACTGACAAACAAACATTATTGTGAATTTATTGTTCATGTTTCTTGGGTAATTATGGTAGGGTGAAAGCGTTCATTGTGGTAAGTGAAGGTGTGCTTCTTACCATCAATGAGTGGCTGAAACTTGAAGAGCTACCATCGCCTCGAGTCTTGTTCAGGTGCAGAGATTTGAAAATGTACATTTCATTTATTTTCATGGACCCGCCAGTGGGCATGAAACTTGCCATGAAACTTGGATGCTATCCTATTAATTGCCACGGAAGTTGGTTGGGATTTTGACTTGAACTTCTTAATCAATGCTTTGCTGAGGCCTACACCTGTTTCTGATCAGATATGAGGCAGGGACGGTCATTCAAAAGGACCGTCCTTGCCCGGAACGGTTCCCTCACAAGCTCTAATAAGAGGCTCTGACGCTCTTATGCATTCACATTGATGGAGATAAAATGCTCTTGTTTTATTTGGTGAACAAGAAAAAAAATAAAAAATAAAAAATTAAAACATACTTTAGCCTAATAGATTCAGCTACCATTAAAAACTCTGTTTTAAAAATATCCCGCCGAAATTGATTTTGCATGACTGTCCATTAAAATTCAAAACCTAAAACTCTCTCTTCAAAAATCAATCTCTTACTTTCCATCCAAAATTTGTCAATATAACTCAATAACTTCAAAACCAAGGCAAAATAACATTCAAGAACAAGAAAGTTGCCGACGAGAAGTGCCAAAGAAGAGCCATGGAAATGTACTATCACACATCAATCATTACACTGAGGATAAGGAAGAACTACTTACTGAAGGAAAAGATGTTGGAGATATGATAGCAGAAGGTGGTAAGATTTGAGATAGAAAAACACCCAATTTTATACACATAAAACCTTCAGTAACAATGTTGCAAACCAATGACTTAATTTCCATTTTTTGATGAATGGTATCCATCTATTTTACTTGTAGTCTCCATGGAAATCCTTTGAATAGTAGAAGTTAAATTAGTTGATGGACTACACAAAGGAGGAGGGTAAAGAAAAATTTTGCACACCAAATATTTGCAAAATAGAAAAAAGAACTTTCAAATCAATTAGTAAAAAGAGCTATTATTAGGGGATATGCAAGGACATTTGTCTACAATAACAACAACAGATTAACAATATAGTTAAGATTTCGTGCCGATAAAAGAAACAAAAACTTTTCAAATTATATTTTTCATTTGTGTTGGTTAGTAGGGACATTTAACGGTGTAGATAGAATTACTGGATGTTTACGGACGGTTACAATGAAATTGGCCAAATACATTTTTCACATACTTGATGAGTCTTGCAATTTCTCAAATCTTATCTTATCTTATCTTACATATATAAAGCGTCAATCGCTTATGAACAGTGCAGAATCAGCCGGTTATGCCGTTATTTTTGTGACTTTGAGGGGTGTTTTGGTCTTTTGGCATTGGATGGCAATGGTTTGATGGAAATTCACTTCTGTCCGCGTGGGCCTCTTGGGCGTGGGCCTCTTGGATGGGAACATTTTGGCGGTCAACAATTTCCTCTCTTTCGGTTCTTGGTTTTCTTTACCTCAGCTGTCCAGGCAATTTAGGTGGTGAGTTGTGCCGAATCCAGTGCGCACCGCTTCAGAGTTTTGGGAGCTGCTACTTTTTCTTATACTTTTGCCGGTCTTGTTTCCTCTTGTTCTTTATCAGCTGTGTTTTTTCCGTTCCTCATTCTTCTTCTTAGCTTTTCTCTGGCCAGTGTCTTTTCCTTCCCTTGTTTTCCTATTACCAGGTCCTACCTACCTGACGCATAGGGTCAGGGCAGAATACTTAGTAAATAATAATGTGGTCAAGTTCTTGAAGATTTTTCCCACCTTTCAGCTTTTTACAGCTGATGCACCTAAAATTAACAGTTTCAATGATGGGGGTGATGCGCCCTCTTTCAGTCTTTATCTGGAAGTTCGTACTATTCTCACAAGCCAAAAACCACACACACACACTCAGCACCGTCTTTCAGCTGTATATGCATCCATCAAGATAACCTCTGTTTGAATCCTGGGGGAGTCACAAACTATTGCCATTAAAGAAGCTGCAATGGGAACTTTGACAGCTACTTCCCTTTCATCAGCATCATCGCTCCTTAATTTGATCCCAAGAAGACCCTTTGGAACAAAGATTAAAAATCCAATCTTGCATAATCCGTTTAGCTATCAACACCCCACCAATTCACATCTCCCTTCATATCAGTTCAAGAAAGCAAAATTCGAGCTTTCCACAGCCATCTCTTCCACTGATACCATGCCAGCAGCTGATCAATCATCCAAAGACGCTTCGTTTGGTCAACAAACTGATACTTCAGAAAAAGAAGAGAAATTTGATTGGTATGCACAATGGTATCCTGTGATACCTGTTTGTGATCTTGACAAAAGGAGGCCACTTGGGAAGAAAGTGATGGGAATTGATATTCTTGTGTGGTGGGATAGGAATGAGAATGAGTGGAAGGTGTTTGATGATACTTGTCCTCATAGGTTGGCTCCTTTGTCTGAAGGAAGGATTGATCAGTGGGGCAGGTGGCAGTGTGTTTATCATGGTTGGTGCTTTGGTGGTTCTGGCGATTGCAAATTCATTCCTCAGGCACCCGTGATGGTCCTCCGGTAATTGAAATTGCTAACAAGTTCATTTTCATGATTGTGAAGTATGCGAAGTATGCGTCTTTCGTATCCGCTAGTTCTCCTTTTCGATGCATTGATTTTCAGTCAGTGTCATTGTTACTGTTTGCTACATCCATATTTGTTTAATCACTGTGCAAGTCACATGCTTTCTTTTTGCCTTATCATCTGTTATATCTAAATTTTTAGTAACTTTCTTGAGAGCAAATTATCCGTATAGCCAATGAACTTTTGAATCGTCGAATTTTAATCACTGAACTATTGAAAGTCTGATTTTAGCCATTGAACTATCTAAAGTTTAGATTCCGGACCATTTCATCAGATTTAATCATTAACTATTTCCTTTTCTTTTGTCTCGTGAATCATGCGACCACTCATAACTATCATGTTTAACGATGAAATCTAACGGAATGACCTAAAATCTAAACTTGAGATAGTTCAATGGCCAAAACCAAACTTTTAATAGTTCAATGATCAAAATTCGATGATTCCAAAAGTTTGGTGGCCATCCAGATAATTTGCTCTTTCTTGAAGAATGTAGTAGCTGAAAGATTAAAGCTATTATAGCACATAAATGGCAATACTGAAGGTAGGACCGTTATCAATAGCAGACTAGCTGTGGAAAGCCAATTTTTTGAGATATATAATCAAGTTTGGAAGAAAGCTCCAAAGTTTTATATGCCTATTTGAATAGCACAAGATTGTCTTTGAGTTTGAACATAGGCAGATATTCATCACTAGCACTGAAGCAGGCAAAACACTCTAGATATGATGGAAACTTCTCAAGTATAATGCACACTTTACCTAGCCATTGCAAGAAGTTATTTGTGTCTTATTCGGATACAACGATAACTTGTTGGTGACATTTAAGGCCAGGATCATTGAATGGGGATATTCAATGTTTAACTGACAATTAGTCATATGAATTTCGGATTCCTCCACCAGAAATTAGACAGAAACTTTATATGCAAACCACGAGCTACAAATCTGAATCTAGCAGAGGAAGTGGATGAGAATTCAGTGAAATTGGATAGGTGAAATTTTTATTTGATGTAGGCTTGATCTTTATGATAAAATGGCCATAGTGTCTTTTATACCTTAGGATTAGATGATGGAATCCAATTTAAAATATTTAATAACTTCCACATCTAATACACTTGTAAGCTTTCACATACATACATATCTGTTCTGAACTCGAGGCCCTTTGTAGATAGGGAATCAAGAGTAGCTGGGGGAAAGAAGCAGAACTCATTTGACCAAACTCGCTGAAAATTTTCAGGTTTTAGTAGTCTTCCTACTGTCTGGTCATTCTAGTACGGCATTTCCGCTTGTTTTTACCTTTTCATACTCAAAATCTCCTCATCTAAAAAGTAAAAAGAACTTTAAGCATTCATCAGCCATTATGAACTTGAAATCTACAAAAAATTTTGCCACTTCTCTTTTTCCATTTTTTTTCAATTAATTCTCCACCTAGGCTCTATGAGAAAATGCATAATGTTCTGATAAGCGATTTTTCTTTATCTACCAATCAAGCTTGGCTTGGTTCAAAACTTGAATTACCTCTATGTCGGACAGTTATTCAATGAATATTGTTTCCAGTTGTTGTGAACATCTTTTATGCGATACTAAATTTAGAAATTTTGAATATTGCCAATAGCTTTCTACTGTTTAAGTATGCCAGTTTGGAGCTTCATTCTGATACTTGATGATGCTATGGAAATGCATTTGCTTACTTTGTTGTACATAGCAGATACATCAAGTCTAAACATGCAAATCTTGCCATTTCCATTGTACCTAAACCAAAGCATGATGGATTGACATTTTGCTTGGAAGTTCAGATCCATACTTCGAGCAAAGCATGTGTAGCTGCATATCCAAGTTGTGTGCTAAATGGCATTCTTTGGTTTTGGCCTAATGCTGATAGTCAGTACAAAGACATATTTTCGAAGGAAAAGCCTCCATACAGCCCGGAAATTGATGATCCATCCTTTACCAGTCGGATGATCACTAGAGATATACCATATGGGTAAGCAATTAGTTGCCCCCTTTATTATAGCTTTTGTGGTTGTTGTTGTTCCACGCTCATACTAGGCAAATCTTCATTTGCACTCTAATCATATTGAAAAGGCTGCTATCGCTATGGAATGCTGAAGTAAATTGCTTTCACTGTTACTTGTGTCGGTATTCAATACATGCTCTGGGAAATGCAAAGGAAAAAGAAAGAAATTCATTAGTTTCCTTCAAGAAGGGTGAGAAAAATGCGGGAAAAATCAATAAAGAGAAATAGGTAAAACTCAAAAGATGGTAAAACTAAATGGTTTTGGTTCTTGTGTTCATGTTATGAAGTGTAGTAAGAAAACAGAAAAAGTGATTGAAAAGTTATGTCAAATAATGTTTGTTTTATTCTTAAGTTGCTTCTGATAGCCAAGCATTTACAGGTACGAGATTCTGATTGAAAATCTTATGGACCCTTCTCATGTTCCATATGCACATTATGGCATACTGAAAGTCCCACGGTCGTCAGAGAGATAAGAGCCTTTACCTTATAATTTGAGAATGTTTGCTGTTCCTAACCTTTTATATGGGTTCCAAATTACTAATAGTTTCTTTTCTGCATTGTCCTGCACTGTTGAGGCTGACAGGGAAGGAGGGAGACCACTTGAGATAAGGGTAAAGACATTAGACGTAAAGGGTTTCACTGCAAAATCATCGACAGCTTCAGATCAATATTTATTTCACCTTGTCTTTTTTATTCCTGGCCATTAGGAGGTACTCTAGAGAATGTAACTACTTCACCATCTGGAACTACAGAGGTAATATTATTACCAATCAATTACCTCTGTAGTTCCAGATAGTGAAGTAGTTACATTCTCTAGAGTACCTCCTAATGACCAGGAATAAAAAAGACAAGGTGGAGTAAATATGCGATCTGAAACTGTCGATATTACCAAAGCTTCCATTTTCATGATTATGATCACGCATCGCGCTGAGATACATCTGTCAGCTACTTAACCAGAGCTTTAGATGAAAGAGATGACAGGAAAAATATTCATCAGTGTCTTTGTACGTGTATCACTTAGAAGCATTTAGATACATAATTCTAAGTACACACATTCACGTAGAGTCTGGAGCAGACATTAATAAGAAAGACTAAAGGTTTTTGTATCTTCCTGTAATTTAATTTCTAGATTATATGGCTATACGTTGTGCAGAATTTCCTCTACCAGAATCATGCAACAGAACAAGGAAGGGATGATGGTCCAAACATTATGAGAGTTATGCTATACATATTATGCATATAGTGGATGTATAGCACGGGTTGAGTTAAAATGGAATAGAACCATAGTTGGAATATACAATTTCCGTAACGGGAGTTATGCTATCCATCAATGTAATATGAAAAAAAAATTACAATAACTGACAAACTACTTGGAAAAAATTTCAAAACCATTCTCTTCATTCACTGTAATTTCTACCTATTGCTTTTTGGTCTAAATCAGCCCCGGTGTATTTTTTGATATTAGTATCAGATAATCTTGTCTTCATTAGTATGACACTGGATAACAGAAGTACTTTAGAAATTTCTTGGAACATTACTGTACGTGCATGATTTTCTTCTAAACATAACAAGCTATAAAAGCTTGCAAACCATCTTTTTTTGGTTCAAGTCTGTCATGGTAATCTAGAACACAAGGCATAGATTAGAACTATGACTTGTCTTGATCTTTTACTCAAAAATCAACATCACATGTGATTTTAACTATGTTCTTATATCTCTAGCCCCAAATGTGGCGGTTCATAAGCCAGTTCTGGGACATTGCATGCCGTTCTAGTCACAGATACAAGGCATCTTGAACTTGCTTAGACAAAATCACTAAAGATTATAAACTTTAGTTCAACATTAATGCAGTGTATAATGTTGGAACGCAGAGTATAAAGCTGGAATTGGTGGCCATATATGTAGGATGAGTGATGAAGCTTTATGGTATATGGTGAAAATGTTGAAAAACGCAGAAAGTTATGTATGTACTGTTTTATTCACTTAAATTACTAAGAGTAAAGAGACTGTGATAGGATGACATTTTCATGAAAGGCAAAAGATAATTTACGGGCAAACAATTTACTTTAAAACTCTGGGAGACTAAAAGGGTATAAGTTACAAATGCGAGGATCATTTCTACATGTTTTCCTGAAATGAGAAAGAAACTGCTAGTAAGTTCTAACAATACTGAGGCAAAAGCACAGTGATAAATTGAATTAAATACACAATTCATATTAAAGTGCAATGGTCATTTTCACCAATACAAGAAACTATGAAGATGAAAAATATTCAGCGCCTATTGTTCTTGGTCATTTCATCATGTTACTTAAAATTATAGGGTAAAAAACAAAACAAAAAATCGCTTGTGGTAAATCTAATATATAGAAAAGTCTTCCGTAGTTTTAAAACATATCAAACGATACCTTATATTTTGAACTAAATTGTAAAGGTGACGGAATCCGTTAAAATTAACAGAAATGACATGCTGGAACCTAAAAACAAATTTTTTATACCTAACTTTTAACAAATATACATGTTCTACCACTTAGTCCCAATTCTCTCTCTCTAGAGAATGAAACAAATAAATTTGTTGAGCTGCCTTTTGTTTAGTTATATCATGACATTTTTATCATTTCATCCGTCCCAATTAATTTTATTGGATTCCGTCATCTTTATAATTTAAATCAAAATATGAAGTGTCGTATTATACAATTTAAAATCATAAAGAGTTTTTCTGAACATTTTTGTTCTTTATCCAAAATTATATCATAAGAGAGTGTGTCTAATGACTGAGAATCGTTAAGATATATTTCAAGTCTTGTATTTAGTATAAGATCTCTCCCTCCGCTAATTTTGACACCCTTGTCTGACAGTTCTACACTTTTCCTAGTTACTTACTGTTTACTGAAGGAAAGGTCCCACTGCCATAAACGCTTTTGAAGTATTCTCTGGGTTAGATCGGAAAAGGTTATTGTTAATTTAATTTTCAAGATCCCATCTTCTCACCAACAATTCTGGAAGTTTAGTTCCTGATTAGTGCTAATCACACCTCAATCTGGATTCCTCTGTTTTCCTTCACATCTCCTCCTCTCTCAGTACCCGTCACAAAGCTCACTCTCAACTTCAAGATCCCAGTCCTTTCCTTCATGTTGCTCAAATCTCCATAAAAAAAAAGAGCTTGAAATATCAGATTAACAGAAAACCTTGCCCTTTCTCCCTCCCTTCCTCAGTTCCTCTCTTTCTGCATTCTGCAAAATTATTCATCTTGAGGCTCACTATAATTGTCAAGATTCATTTTTTCTTGTTAATTCAGTGTCTGCAGTAAAGAATCATTCTCAGATCAGAGGTTAGTTAAGCTAATTGTTTAATTTCTCCGTCGCCTCTTTCCTCTGTTTTTGCAGACCCTTTATCTATTTTCTGTCAAGATCTAGTCTTTTGTTGAATTTTGCTGCCTTTTTTCATTTATGACTTCAATTTGATTCATTTTGGAAAAAGGGTTTTGCTCCAATGAAGGAATTAAATTCAGTAAGTGACCCAATTGGGCAAAACCTAATAAAATTCATAAGCAATGTGTGTTTTTCAGTTTTTGTATTCTCAGTTCTCATAGTTACCGTAATTGCAATAACATACCAGCCCCCTGATCCATGGGAGTCCTCCAGAGCCCTCACTAAGGTTTTTACACAAGTTGAAAACGCCACTTTTAAAACTGATACTTCTGTACTTAAAACTGGTGAGGATATTGCCGAGTCTCCAAGATTAGCTCCTGCAGGGGTAAGTGTATCTATTACTGAAGATGTGATTGAGAGAACTGAAGCGGATCTTAAAAATGTGAGCTTGAAATCTGGTTGTGAAGATAGAGGTGTCATAAATTGCTCAGATCCTAGGGTGTTGATAACTATAGAGAGGTTCAACTTGAGGGCCTTTAGGTCCCTTGCATTTTTAGATTATCAACATCCTGTTAATGGTTCGGCGCCTAATGAGTGTGATGTAGCGTGGAGGTTTAGAAATAAGAAGGAGAAATCTTGGAGGAAGTATAGGGATTTCAGAAGGTTTACCATTGGGTTCAAGGATGATTGCAGTTATAAGGTGATCCATGCAGGGCGTTGGCACTCAGGTTTGAATGCCCGCCATCCTAGGATTCGAACAAATGCCACTAGAAGTGGTCTGAGAAACAAAACTGCCCCTGTTGTTAGAGATGATGAAATAAATGATACGCTTCCGGTGGTAGGATCAGATTTGGCATTTAGAAATGGGAGATACCTGTATTATTCACATGGCGGGGATTATTGTAAAGGAATGAATCATTACCTATGGAGCTTTTTGTGCGCTTTAGGTGAGGCTCAGTATCTGAATAGGACATTTGTGATGGATTTGAGTATTTGCTTGTCCTCCTCTTACACTCAGAGTCATAGGGATGAGGAGGGAAAAGATTTCCGGTTCTACTTTGATTTTGAGCATTTGAAGGAGACAGCATCAGTTGTGGATGATGAGGAGTTCCATAAAGATTGGAAGAGATGGGATAAAACACATAAAAAGAAAATCCCTGTGAGAAAGGTTGCAGATTATAAAGTTACACCAATGCAGTTGAAAAAAGATAAGAGCACTATTATATGGCGGCAATTTGATGCTCCTGAGCCGGAAAACTACTGGTATCGGGTCTGTGAAGGTCCAGCAGGTAAATACATCCAGAGGCCCTGGCATGCACTTTGGAAATCAAAGAGACTAATGAATATAGTTACGGCAATTAGTGGGAGCATGGACTGGGACTATGATGCAGTTCATGTGGTTCGAGGAGAGAAGGCACAGAATAAGGAACTATGGCCTCATCTTGACGCTGACACATCTCCGGAGGCGCTCGATCAAATACTGCAAACAGCAGTTACGCCTTGGAGGCATTTGTATGTTGCTACTAATGAACCATTTTACAATTACTTTGATAAGCTGAGATCTCATTACAAGGTTCATTTGCTTGATGATTACAAGGAAATGTGGGGAAATATGAGTGAATGGTACAATGACACAAGGCTTTTGAATGGTGGGCACCCAGTTGAGTTTGATGGATATATGAGAGTTGAGGTGGACACTGAAGTCCTTTACAGGGCAAAGACAAGGGTTGAAACGTTCTATAACTTGACAAAAGATTGCAAGGATGGAATTAATACTTGCTGAACCAGTTGAAAATCTCTGCCATCGCAGAATCCTGAACAGGTTGGATAGAATCTTTTGCCTGTTTCACCTTTTGTATTTTGTATTGAAAGAGTATACTGAGTTTATTTCAGGGTGCTGTTGATTTTACTCATTCATGGTACATTATTGTATTGATTGATCGTCTCTTGGTCTTATCATGTATCTGTACGATAGATAGATTTATTTCAGAGCAGTCATTCTCTTGTAACCTGTTTCAATCCACAACTCCTTTTTTGTTTGCTTTACTACTCTCATAATCTAACATTGGCTGCATCTAACGATGAACTGCGTGGTTAGTCAAATATGTCTTAAATAGTTGGTAGTTGCAAGTTCATCTAAAGAGTTGCTTATATTTTCTTAAGACTTTTCGCAAATCCTTGGGTTTTACAAAATTGGTCCTAATAACATAGATCCTGAATAGAAGATAATTTCTTTTATTGACAGTTCTGAACCTAATAGCATTGCGCACTTGAACTCAGGTATTTTCCATTGAATGAAAAGTTTCTTGATTAACAACAGTTTCTTTTTAGTTTTCTAAACAGCCTAAAAGCGTCCCTGCATTTCACTGCATTAATTTAAACAGAAGAACATCTATGCATTTCCAGACCTGGTATTAGTTGGTGTTAGCACATGTTTCTGTAAGCATCCTATTGGTAGTTGGTGTAAGCACAAGTTTCTATAAGCATCTCTACTTGCTCCACGGTGGATGGCAAAGATAAAATGTTTTTCTCTCCTCTGCAGAAATATGAATTCTGTATGTGTGCATGTTGGTATGAGGAGTGTGATGATAATGTTAAAAGTACTTTAAACTTCTCCATTTGCACATGGCAGGATTTTTATATCTGACATTGAAATTTCAGTTCCTTTTTGAATTACTTGTGGTCTCTTTTACTTGATTCAAGCGTCTTGTTGAAAACCACTCGAGGGACCAATGCAATTTATAGGGGTCAAGCTTAGGAGGACCAATGCAATTTATAGGTGTCAAGCTTAGGAATGACAGCCGAAACCTCTCAAGATTGCTTTCTGACTTTATCTTGATTATAAAAAATGACATTTCTATTTATGTAGATTTTCATTACAAAAGATATCAAATAGGAAGTTACATAGAGTATGAACGCATTCTTGGGCAAAAGCATTCAAATGACTACGACTTTGCAAGTTTACAGTCCTTAACATCCCAACTTTGGCTTGGTGCAACTTTGTCGTGCAATGGTTCATATTCCTGCAAATGCAAATAAAGCACAAGATATTAGCAGTAAGTCAGCACAAAGTAATCTTTGCTCAGAAACGCCAATTTGATGACACCTTTGTTTCAGTATGATCTATGAGTATGACGATATCTAGCATTCTACTTTGCCCAGAATGCTTCCTTATCAAACTTTTTGCCCCTCCTCCCCTTGAGTTGTGTGTTTGTTCTTCTTTGTTCTCTTTCTTTTCCATTACTTGAAGGTTATCTTTCCTTCTTTGTCCCTCCCCCCACTCTTTGTAAAGGCTAGCGGCCGTACATGACGAAGGGTCTGAACCAAAGAGGAACCTGAACAGGATAGGTTGCTTGGAAATACAATGCAGTTTAGACGGTATGACATGACTAAGCTCAGTGTTCCAATGTTGCTGAGCTTGAACATGATGTTTTGGTCTAATGATTGTTGTATGGGATGTTTACATCTATCAAAACGTAATCTTCATTTTGCTTTGGCAAAGAAGATGCTATTGTCAAACTTTGGGCCCCTGCTGCACTAGTAATGTATCTTCTTGGTTTGAAGGACCATTCTAACTACTGATATCCTAACTTCCAAGTTAAAACATTCCAACCCCCCCCCCCCCCCCCACAAAAAACAACAACACCAATTCCACTTTCTCATTAAATTAGTTAATGTTTCACTTTCTTTCATTCCAGTGTCTTTTCTGTGTTATAGAGAAATGGATGATGACTTTGATTGAACACAAAAGGCTAAACAAAAACAGCAGGTTGTACCTCCATCTTCTTTATAAGCTCTCCAGCAGTTTGTGCAGATATGACAATATGTCTAGCTGAGTGCCTAATGAATCCCTCTTCAACCCCTTTGTCAAATAATCCAAGCAAGCAATCATAATATCCATCAATGTTTAAGAGGCCAACCTGTTTCAGGCATTTCATTCATTCATCATGTAATTTATAACATCATCTTAAACTCGAGATTTGTTCATTTCGATTTTTGACCACTTGAAGTTATATAATCTCAACTGCAGAAATTTTGGTTTAAATACTTTTCAGCAAACCGCAGGAAAGCTCCTTAGTCATGAAAGAAGTTGTCATATTTGAAAACAAATAATGCATCCATTCCGCCAAAGAAAAAAAAAAAAGGGTCATCAGTATCTACCTAAAAAACCAAATGATCGGGAGAGGGGCAGTGCGGTTGGGATTTGGTACGATTCGATTCAATTGTTGTACTTTTTTTTATATTATTTGGTGTATAATTATTTACATCATTATATTCAAGATAAAAGTGATATACTTATACAAAATATTTGACGTTTATTTAATATAACATTATGATGTTTTTATATGTCAAAAATTTAAACACTAACAATGATTGGACGGAATCTCACAAAACAAATCCAAAAAAGACCGGATAAAACTAATCACAACATTTCGTCTATCCCACCAAACATTCAATTTTAATATGGTCCTACATAGGACTGGATATGATCTCGAGTGGATGGACATGATTATGTTGCAAGTATATAATTACATCAAAAACTGGTGTGAAGTCCCCTTCAAGGCTATCTCCATCGAGTTTGGACAAATGTCAATTGAGTGGCCTTACATCATCTTAGTACAAAGGACCTGTGCAGGTCTGTCATCTTGGCCAATTTGCTCAAATCGCAATACACCACTCGTGGCTATATGTTTACTAAGGAAGAAGCTACCTACCAAAGAGTTGGTTGGCTACGATCAATTTAGAGGGCTATTACTATTAGCCTATTACTAGTAGAGATTCAAGGATAGAAGACCCTGTAAATGCAATTTGTGAAACAATCACCCTTTGCTAAAAATTCTTTAAAAAATATGCAAATATTTATGATACTGATTTTTGTTAACGAGTGTTTAATAAACACGCTTTAGTTTTTAACTATTGTATTTATTTTAGAGTTAGATGCAGAAGTAGATTCTGTATCGATCTAATTTCATTGCACCGCATGGTGGTGTATAAATTTAATAGAGTGTAGAAGGCAATTTATCTGCTTTCCATGGTAGAACAAGGAGTCTCATCATCTTATAGATGATTTGAAAAGTAAATTATGAGATTTCCAACCTAGTTTACTGAATATATTGTTCTTTGGATATGTTAATAGCAAAAAATATTCATTAGGTGTTCGAGTGGGGGGCTAAAGACCATTAGACTAGGAGTGTCATGTATATTGAGAGTTGATGTTTTGCAATAGTGAGTTATTTTGGTGAGAATATTGTGTTGGAGTTTTACTAAAATATTTATGAGCTCATTCGGATTGCAATTTTTTTGAAAATTTTGTCAAAAAATATACTGCAGTGATTTGATACATGTGAGGTAAAAAAGTTATCGATAAAATACTGAATCCATCGATGCATATAATTGATGCAAATGACCAAATCAAACTAGACGTGAAGTGCAATAATGCGTGTATCTCGAGGGCCATAAATGACAAACTATTTCAAAGAAATGCATGGCTAAAACCCAATTTTTTGTGAATATTGGTTGCAAAATCATCTCTCTTCCTTTTTGGCCCTAATTATATCACAATCTTATTGATGACTGCATTCATCCCCTTCTTTTTTTACAGAAAAAACAAAAAAGTCTTTTAGTAGTTGTTCCACTTTGAGCCTCATATTAACATTGCACCATTAGAGCTGAAAATTTGACCTCCATACTTTTAGTTATTATAATGTGGTCCCTGAGTTTTTATTTATATTCACTTCCCCCAACCACACCAATTGTTACCAAACTTTAAACTATGGACAAAAAATCAGCTACTTGAACTGCATAAAAGCAGTTAACTTCTGAAATTATAGCAACAAAAAGGGGGGTTCCCTTTTTTTTTTTTAGAGTCTAAAAGATTCTATTTCAACAATACTCAGTCCTTCGCTTGACTAAATGAAGTACTGTTGTGAGTAATAATTGCATAAGAGTGTATTAGTTACTCATAATGACTCTTAATTTGATTGTCATTCACATTCCTTTGCCCCATTTTTATCCAATAATTAAATTCAAAGAGACAAAAAGGGGAGGGGGGGTAATCAATTGATTTGACTGGAAATTTAGGTATGGAAAGTGTCTTAAGCTTGACATTTTGAAGTCACAGAAAGAATTAACATAAAAAGGGAGATTAGAAAAAATACTGTGTTCAATCTCGAAATTAGTTCTATACAAATAGTTGGCAAAGAGAAAAAAAATAAATGCAGTAGCTAAATGATGATGAGCAATATTAGCATTAATACCAACATAATTAGAAAATAAAAAAGATAAATATAGGGCTTCATTCATACCATACCATACCATTGTATAGTATTTGTGGAAAAAAAGACTAAATGAATTTATAAACATATATAAAAAAAAAATTAGTACTTTTACGTCTCAATAACTCAACGGAAACTAAGTGAAAACTTTTCCTTCTTCTAATCTTAATCTCCAAAATAGTTTCATATTAATAAAATGTTCAAATTTGCAACAAAAATTATTTCCGGTGATTGGCGTCATTTCAAGATTTCTTTTTTCTTATAGCAAAATATTTGATATAAAATCTACAAAACAAACTAGATGCTTGAAAGGATACTCTTGGTACCACTTAAACACAACCTTATATAGTCGACTAATAATAAGAATAAGCTAGTTATTTTAAAATATCATTTAGGGCCAATAATGGAAACTGTTCCAGAAAAAAAAAAAAGGAAACCGACTTCTCATTCTATTATAGTTTTAGGCATGTTCTCAATTGATTTTAGTTTTTGATTTTCAAAAAACAATTTTGATGCGTTCTCAACTGATTTAAAAAATCTAATTTTAGATTTTTCGAGTCCAAAAAATCTGAAAATCAGAAGCATGTTGTAAGTTGCTTTTAGATGTTGATTCTGGCCTACTTTTTCATATAGACAAAAATATCTTTCAAATTTTGACTTAACTACTAATCTACTTGAAGATTACTATATAACTTTTTTTGCCACATGTCTCTCACCATTTCTTCCTATTCACAATCGCAGCTCTAGATTCATATTATTAATTTGTCCCTATTCTCCTTTTTTTTTTTTTGCCCAACTTTTAATCTTCATAAGAAAATAATTAATTATATAAAAAATTATTTAATTATCATAAAAGTCACTTGTGCAGTTTATAAGTGTCATTTGGTCTTCTTTTTTGTCAAAATGAGCTTTACGACTTTGTTTAAGAATGTCTATGCTTTTAGAAAAATAGATTTTCTAACTATAGATGAGAACACATGACTTACTCTAAATAAATTTGATTTTTAAAAATCAATTCTAGAAAATCAACTTTTACAGAATTAGAATTAGTTGGGAACAAGCCCTTAGGCTTTTAGGTACTTGGACCAATAAAAGGAATTGATTAAGAAGCATGCATGTACTCTCTCCGTCCACTTTGATAGTCATGTTTTCCTTTTTTCGTTTGTTTCAAATTGTAGTCCACTTTCCAATTGAAAATGTAGTTATTTTTAATTTCTCTAATATACCCTTATTCAATGTAGGTTGTTATTAATATAAACTACCTTATTTAATATAGATTGTTAATACCCATTTAATACATTTAGATTTTCCAAAACATATTGATATATGAAAAGCCAGCTTTGTTGTTCTTTCAAGCCAAAATGTGAAATAATGTAAAATGAGGATTAATTCTTTCTTAATCATCAATTCAAGTTTCCATAAACCATCAATTCAAGTTTCCATAAATAGTTAATATAAAGTTGTACTTTATTTAATATAAGGGTATTTTAGAAAATAACAACCTAAATTTATTGTTCCAACAAAGTTAACATTTTTTCTTAAATTGTATAAAAAAAAATTAAGACTATCAAAATGGGCTGGGAGTATTAACTAAACGAAATCGTAGTACGAGGTTTCTTTGCTAAAACGCGCGAATTTTGATCCTTGATTGCACTGTTCCCCAGTGTTGGAAGAATCAATTTTACTTTACACCCTCCAACTATACTCAAATTTCTATTCGCTCTTCAAATTTCGAAACGAGATACTTTAGTCCATAAACTATTAAATCCGTTTTACTTTAGTCCTTAAAATATAACACATATCCAATTTTAGTCCCTAAATTATAAAAGTTATCTCACTTTAGTCCTAAAATATTTTGACTTAAGTATAAAATCTATCCCACTTCCCCAAAGGTCTTACTTAAGTGGAATGGATTTTATAGTTAATAGACTAAAGTGTCCAATTTTGAAATTCAAAGATCAAAGTGGGAATTTGATAATTGAAGAGTGCAAAGTGAAATTAACCAGGTTGGAATGAAGAATTGATGCACTATTTCTAAAGCATTACAAACTTTTTAAATTACTCTAAGTTAAAGAACTAAGGAGCTAAAACTTGAAATATCCATTCAACTTGACAAGTTACATCATTTTAAGCCTTAATCCTCCATGAGGCCCTAGAGTTATATTATATAGCCGGCAACACCAAGCAAACATTATTTACAAAATTCTACAAAACATTAGAAAAAAAGCCAAATATGAATCTTAAACTAAAATTTTGACCTTTGATTTTTTTTTTTTTGGACTCTTGGAGAAATTGTTCATTGTTTGTTACTAATAAAAGGAAGTTGGAAGCAATGAAGATTAATTTAAATGTCATAGAAGTTATTCCCTTTCTTTTTATAAAAAAAAAAAAAAAAAAGGCTATAGAAGCTGTTAGTTGTAAATAATAAGCATCAAAATGAATCACTAAAAAAGTCCCAAAAGACAAGAGTAGCAAATTGACACTATTAGAATGGAATTACTCTATATTCCTCCTTCCCATATATAGAGGCATTCTACGTTTATCAAATGCATTTTCTCCACTTTTTCTATGCATTGGAGGGTAGGTTGGATTATAAAGTGATGTGGTCCAATAAATCATTAATCTCAGATGAAAGATTAGCAGAAATATTAGCTCAAAATGGCCCTCAAGAATGATGCCAAAGTGTTGGAACATGAAACATGCGTACCGGTTTATCATGAATTCCAAGCTGCGACCATGATATTATCTCAAGCAGCTCCTCCATTGTTCCGTACCCTCCTTCATTAGTATCACCCAAAACAGAAAATCAGCAATTTTTTAATCAAGTTATTAATACTATATAGCATATGTATATGCTTATAAAGTAGGTTTTTTTTTCCTTTTTAATTGTTCCAAGCTAGTTAAGTTAAAAAATAAGTTTGATCAATTCACTCATTCAAACAAAAGAATTCCGAAATTCTCAATCAATTTAGGAAAAAAGGGAATTAGATATGACACCCTCAATCGCAAACCGTTTAATTTTTTCTTAAAGAAAAGGGCTTGAAAAATATTGAAATTTTAAAAAAAAAAAAAATTGGGATGAGCATGAAACATTAACAGGAAGTGGGATGAGGATGAAAGATGAATACCAGGAAGAGCTATGAAAGCATCGGCCCTACGAGCCATTTCAGCTTTCCTTTCATGCATGTCAGAAACTATGGTCACTTCTCCAACTGCCTCGCCTGATATCTGCTCATCATGCCTCATTAATCAACTGCTTACCAATTATCTCCAAGAAAACCCAAGAGATAGAGGTATTATATATATATATATATATAGGGAGGTGGGAAAGGGTTGGAGAGACTTGGCATGGCAATGAAATCAGATATACATACATACCTCTACCGAAACGAGAGCCTTTGGAATCACTCTTTATATATATATATGTATATATGGAGAAAGAATAGACACAAAGGCAGAGTTAGTATTTGACGAGCTGTATCAAACAAGTTAAATAGTCCATGACAAATACAATTGATTTGATTCAAGTTTAAACTCGAAATGAATTTGAGTAAATTTGGCATGTATACCCTAGAACATTGCATCCACCATCATATACTGTTTGGGAAACCAATCCCATCAGACCAATGCTCCCTCCTCCGTAGATTAGGTCTACCTTTCTTTGCACCTATTTTGTACCATCTCCATCAGTTACTGTTGAAAGACTAATCAAAAGCCAGCTCCTCTATCCATATATCTTTGTAAAAGAGCAGAAACAAAAAACAAAAGGACATATACACACACACACATGTGAAAAGAGCATGGGGGGAGAGAGAGAGAGAGAGAGAGAGACAGAAGCAACAAACCAATTCTTTTCCAAGATCAAAAGCTGCATCGCTGAATATCTTTCTGTACCCTGAATTACTTCCGCAGAAGACGCAAACCTTCTTGAACTTGCCCATGTCTGACGTCTTCCCAGAAAAAAAAAAAAGCACTGAGAAATGTTGATTCTGAAAGAAACTTGTCGCTCAATGGTCAATATCCATGTATTGTTTGGTTACTTTACCACAATGTACATATTATTTTATAGGGACCATGTTATGTAGCTAGGGACAGTGGTCTAAATTGAGCCACATTAGGCTTGATTCTTGCCTAACGAGAATCATAATAGGGTTAATGATTGTGCTTAGTCATGACCTTATGTAATTAAGCAGCTTCAGCCTCCATTTGACCAAACAAGAAAACAGAAAGAAATAAAAACGAACATGATGATGCAGGGAAAAGGGGTCTTTATATGCAATTGTCCCTCATCTCATTTTAGCCATAGATATAATGTGGTTTTCGCATCTCATTTTTGTTACTTTGATATGACAATTAATTAATTCTGGTGCATAATCATGATTAGTACAACTCTGTTGTTTAAGAAGGACATCAAATTTTAGCAGTTCAAATAATTAAATTTGGAAATTAGGCACATCCCAAAAAAGGGGCGAAAACACACATTTCCACTGTCTAGTTGCCGCTAAAGAAACTCCTTGGTCAGGTCACAAATGCCTTTCTTATAATTGATGGCTACTGTTAAGAAAGACTTTGCATGACAAGTGACAATTACTGAAGTTCGTGGCGCATTTGTGAATAATAATGCCTTTTGCTGTGATTAATTATCATTATTTTTCAAGTCAAAGAAGAAGAAGATTCTCACTTTTCCTGTTCAATCTTTGCTTTCCTTTCTGTGTCCAATTGGTTTGGTGGGTGCACCCAAAACCAGTACTGCTCACCTTCTTGGATTTTGGAACAGATTCGTATCCCCTCAAGAATTCCAAGTCCTTTTGTACAATAAAGCACATAGAAAAGGAGGACTTTGCCAATGTATCCAGCAGCCATTCAACCAGAAGAGGGTAGCTACATTGAACCTATATATGCAGTCAATTTGTGGAGAACAATGATTTTTTGTCCACTTCAACCCCTATATATATATTTCTAATGGTTCATGAGGAAAAAATTGGTATATTTTGTGTTAGCATCACATATTTGTTCAAAACCAACTTGATTTTCTCTGCTCCTGATTCCTACCTTCTTTCTATATGAAAACTTCAAAAAGAAAAAAACATCTATATAAGCAGACTTCTTCTGCATGTACAAGGTATTAAAAGTTTTGACATTCCTTATCTTATATACCAGATCGAAAAGCTTAAATCATTATGGAACATAAAAACATCCCACCCAAATTTTTGAAAGGTGTCGACTGATTCAGACGGGATCCTCTGTCTATTATATCTGTTCACTTTCCTGTCTAATATAAAACTATGTAGTTCCACTTACTAATACTACTGATGTAGCACATAACATTGAATGCATATTTAGGGAGTGCTTGGTAAATGGGTTTTAAATTCAATTATATCCATAAATGATGTTTGTTTATGCCCAATTGTACTCATAGCCTTCTACTTTGAAATTCCACACTGCATGATTCAGATGAGATTAGGCAAACATTTGAGGACGAATCCTTGAACTTGTTAGTGTTGCAGTTACATGCGATCATGTTAATTCAGAAAGTAAGTCGTACATGTTAAAATTGAATTTGAAACCCATTTTATCAAACATTCCCTAAATATGCATCCAATGTTATGTGCCACATTAGCAATATTAGTAAGTGGAACTACATAATTTTCTATTAGATAGAAAAGTGGACAGACATAATGGATAGAGGATTCTGTCTGCGATTGACTACATACATAATCACCAAGGCACCCTCAAATGGCTTCAGATCCTCTGTCCCCAAAATAGTCCATGTCCCCTCTGTCCCTTTGTTGTACAACGGCCACGTGTCTCTAGCCTTTTGTTAACCCAAACTCAAATAAACCGATAATAATCGGTTTAGAAGTTTTGTTAACCCAAATTCAAAGAACCAAATTCCAATTCATAATTCCAATATCTAGTATGAATACCCGTGCTACGCACGGTATTGACATTATTGAAAAAAAAATAAAAATAAATGGTGAATAAACAAGATTAAAAAATTGTACCAACATAATTAAAATGTAATATCTGTCTAACAATAGTTTGAAATATGATCGAATGTGATTTTGATTTTTTGAGAATCAAATTCCAAAATCATCTGCCCAATAAAAATAAGAGAATAGTAATAAAATTTCAACCACTCTTATTAAGTACACCTAAAAACCCTGCTAATACTTGAATAATCATGGTCTATCATGTTGGTTTGTAATATCAAACCCTTGCCTATTCATAATTCAAAACTTCTAAAGATAGTCGGTTTGTTTGAATTTGGGTTAACAAAACTTATAAACCGATTATTATCGATTTATTTGAGTTTGGGTTAACAAAAAACTAGAGACACGTGACAGTTGTATAACAAAGGGACAGAGGGACAGGGACTATTTTGGAAACAGAGGATCTAAAGCCCCCTCAAATTGGCAGTAAAGAAGCCACAAATATGGAAACAATGATAACTACGAGTATTTTCTTATGCTTTTGTAATAGTCAGCTCTAATCATTGAAAATGAAGATACAAGTTACCATAATATAAGTGTCTAATCGAATCATATACCATATAATATTTGTCCTGAATATTAGAATCAGATAAGAAAAGGGCTCACATTTCATATAATATTAATGCAATAACATCCAAGAATTTAGCCTTTTCTCCATTAAAAAAAATGGTGCCGACTTTCTCAATTATGATATGAGAATAAGGCAATGCACTAAGAAATATTAAAATTTTAAGTCCCACGCGTGCATTGGAGATCATGATGTTACCATGGCCAAACAAGCTTGATGATCAATCTCATTCGTTCGCAATATATATATTTTATTTTATAGTAGTCGTCCACTTGGTTGCACATAATGGAACAACAATTAACATTGATCCGTATCTTCCAAACTCCAATTGATGGTCGACACTCAATTTTGGATCCTAATTGATGCAAAGAAACACCTATGACATAATTATTCTTTGCAAAGTAGTTTACCAGCTACTGCAAGCATCTAATTGCTACCCTAAAACAAGAAGTCCTATGATTGCTTTCTCTTCTCAGAAGAATGTGGCCGTGCAACATTACAGGGTAGTCATGTCCTTGACAAGAGACTGAAACTTGCTGCCCATCAAGACGCGGAGCAGGAACGGTCATCAGTGAGAATGATCGGTCTTGAATAGTTAACGTCAAAGATTGATCAAAAAGAGTGTAAGGTTCATATCATCATATGTACATCGTTTTTAACGTTACATATGGAATTGATAAAAGTTTATTCTATATTTAATTTATGTTAAAAGTGAATTACATCTTATGGTTTTTGACAAAATTGCTGAAGGATGTAGCTAACGTGTTACACTGATGGACGGTGTGCCAAATGACAATGCACCAATGGTGACAAGTGACTGATTTCTGATGCAATAGATGGTTCTGTGTAGCCATAATTTTTTTTTTTTTTTTTGTGAAAGTGAAGCCATTTTTTTTTTTCGAAATGATATTTGATTATATTACTTCCAAAACATATACAAGTACGAGCAAAGACTCGAGTTAACTTTACAAATTAGTGTGCTTGACACTGAGAAAACAAGAGTTCCTCATCAATTGTGATGCCTAAGGCATATATGCTAATCCTAAAGTTTAGATGATTTTTATCACTATTAACTAGACAAAAGAGCACATATGAAACAACTCTTTCAATTGGACAATATCTTCCACCAGCGTAGCTACTCTAATATCACTTGCCTTCTGAGTTCGGATGTGGTTGAGGAGTTGCTTGTCTTGCACTTGGAATTGCACTTTCCTTAGTTGCAAGGTGGTTGCTTTGCTCATAGCCAGCTTTAGTGCTACTGCTTCGTCCGTCAAAGTGAAGCCATTCAATAAGGACAAAATGGTACATCCAATCGTCACACCTCCAACTAAAAGGGCAAATTGCTGTAGCTCACGGCAACGAATAGAAGCACTTGGAGTGTTAGTTGTCACACCTCAAACCCAGAAAAGTCAAATTGAGGTGGAAAATACTAGAATGCAGATCACTGTTCCTACGCACCAAGTTTTGTTCCTGGATTTTCAAACCCAAAAAGGAACGGGAAAAAATTTTTTTTCTTGTATCAAAACACTTTTAAAGTCGAATTACTGATTGACCATATCTAGATGGTTCCTTCTTTTAGGCAAAATAATTGTAGTTAAATTGAGTACGTAATCTCTTTCTCATTTCTACTAATGCTTAATTTCGTTGATCAGATGCCATAAGCATGATTGATCGATTAGGGATCGCCATGTGTACCTGTTCAAGTGTGTGCCAAGTTTCCTTTACTTTCATCTTTCATTTCTTTAATCCATGAGTGTACATATTGAGTGTCACTATGAAAGATGAACAGGATTGATTCTTGATACACCATTATGGAGCCCTTTTTTTATATAAGGGAAAATAAGACGCACTAGACAAATTCTGTGTGACGGTCAGATATTCCAAGTGAGGTTCGAACCTAGGTTAAAAAGAAAGCATTATATCAATTCTATCATCTTGATCAACTCAAGAAGCAAAAGAACCTGGAATGAGAGTTCAACACACATGCACATTACACACGTGTGTATGTGTGTGTGTAGCATATTGAGTTCACTATGCTAAAGCCTAAAAAAAAATAAGAGATTCACAAACAGGCAAATAAAAACATTCTATCAATAAAATGCTAATCGACAGAATGACTTCTAACCACAAAACTGCGACATGCTTTTTGGTTGGGGATCTATTAGGAGAACACTCAACAATAAATGCATCAACTGTAGGAAGGTGTAGAAGGAGATGGATCATGGAATGAGGAATCCCTCAAACCAAATTACGGAATGATGTGAAATAACATGCAGCAACACGTTTTTTCTTGAAACTGATATGAAATATCATTAAGTACAAATGTCGCAGGATCGGTTTGCCAGAGTAAAAAAAAAAAAAAAAGTAGAGGCAAAAGGATAAAGCAATCCCATCATCACTGTATAAAATTTATTCGTGCACAATATGATTATGAGCATTCTTCAATCTTACAGTACAAGTTTCTGGAACCTTTACATTTGAATGGTTCAAGGGCTATTGAATCTTTTTTTTTCTTTTTTGAACAATTGTTTTGCTATATCATTGATTGGCATAATTGGGTTTACAATACAAGCTTTAGCAGTGGTGGAGGCAAAAAATTTTAGGTGAAGTAGTTATATTAGTAGTTCATCGATCCTTCTCCATGGAGTAATTATTTTCAGATGTTATGTCATATTAAACGGGCTCAATTTTCAATCTTGCCTACTATCATTACTCAAACACATATTTATATAGTTTATTGAAAAATTCTATGGTCTCTTCAAGGAATTATTTTCTCAATTTCTATTTTTCAATGTCGATTGTTGTTAAAATTTTAAATAATTATTTCAAAATAATATAAGGGTCCAAAATAATTATTTCACCATCCAACGGAGAATTTATGCTGAAGGTGTGATTCTTCAAAAGGGTGTTAGAATTTCTCTATTTTGTAATGTCAACTAAAATGGTAAAATTGAAATTGTGCATTTTATTTATTTTTAATAGAAGTTGATTTTTTTGGTCAACTGATCATCCAACTTTGGGAGTTTCTGCATTTTTATTTTATTTTTTACTTTTTGGCTCTGAAATTAATGTCAAGTTTCTACGTAATAATTTTATAACTAAGAAATTCAATACCTGAAAATTTTTTCACAATTCTATATCCCTATGCCCACCATTCACAACAAAAGTTTTGACAAAATCATTTGGGATTCATTCTCTTTTTGGTTGCCTTTTTTTTTTTGGATGATAAGTGGTAACATTAATTTTCTGTGCATAAAACCCCTTGTTAGGAGAAAAAGAATTTACAAAACCATCTCTAATTCTTTTTTTTTTTTCCATCAATGGCACACATGAATATTTCATTCACAACTTGATATTCATTTGGGCTTCTTGACAAATAAACGTATGTCGATGGGGTGGAATTAAAACCTTAAGATATGGAATCTGTCAATTTCTTTTTACAGCTAAAATACTCTTGTTTTTATAACTCTTTAATTGAATTTGCGCCCCCTCCCCTTTCCTCCCAGACAAAAAAGGAAAAAAAAATGAGCTCGTTGTTTAGAATACTAAAGACAATGACTAAGAAGCATGATATGAACGTTTTTCGTATTCAATGTATATCATTATCAGCGACTTATAAAAACCCAAGGAAAATTCTCAATGCTTGAAGGGAAATTTTCATCCACTAGAAGTAATGAGTATCGGATGTAGTTTTGTTGGGTACCATACGTATATTCCTGGTACTGTTTAGTACCACAAATATACCGATGTAGCTTGTTGAACGCGTCGAATGTCGTTCATACATTTTTGCACCACGGAAAGGTAAACCAAACTATTCCGTATTCGAATCGAGTTCGAATTAATAAGAGTTTATTTGAATTTGGTTCGCTGACTAGTCAAGCCAACATTGAACATTTTTTTTTGGTTCGATAACTTTCAAATTTGAAAAAAAAAAACTCGTTCAAATTCGATTCAACAACTAAACAAGTAAAACTTAACAAAATTTTAGTCTTGTTAAAATAATCAAATAAGTTTAAATACTAGGATATTTGACTTGGTTAGATTTGTTTACTCCTCTATCTTTGTATAGTCACAAAATAGAAGATTTAGAAGTCTAGATTTTTTTTTTTTTAACAAACTAGAAGTGTAGATATTGAACAGAGATAGACTACAATTTCCACCATCAATTCTCCACAAGAGTTAATGCTTTGAAACTAATTGGAAGACCTGTTCTGATAGGGCATGCATATGTACATCAAAGACAGGTTGGTAACTTATTTGTCGTATGGATCGGTAGCCTTGTGGGTTAGAACGTTCGGTTAGTCCACCTTTGCCATACTAATTTCTTCAACAGCAATCCGGTAAAGATACTGGGAAACTACCGGTCAATCAAAAGCCAAAACAAAAAATCATGCAATGCAATTGGAAGTAGATATATATACTCCTGCTACATATAAATGTTCCGTGCTTTTATGGGTAGTTAGACAAATCTTCAAACTTTTTAGGTATAAGCCCACCATATATTTCTTGTTCAGGGACAAACGTAGCTGCTTCCGGTGGTGGAAAAATTTTCTGAAGCTCCAAGTTTGGATTCTAGACTCGAAAATATTGTCAGCAGCCAAGCCCATTAACCATTTGATCGTGTTAAAGGTGATGATGCCATTGGCAAGAGAGCTGGACGCAGGGATCAGTAGCTGTACATGCCTCAATGATCATGTTTCCAGGTGAGTCTGCAATCTGTATACACCACTTGATGATTTCTTGCTTTCATTGTCCCGTTTCTAATACATGAATGCAATAGTGCTTGGTTAATTACCATTGATATCATTTCCCTTGAGCAACTTTGATGGAAAATTTCAAAAGTAAACGTTTTATGCACTGTCAGTATATATATCAACAGATTCAGATGCATGTTATATATATATAATTTGATTTAAATTCGAATTGAGATAATGTAGCATGCATATCGGATACCATTGCATTCCAGATAATGGTTAGATCATAAGCATTATGTGAAGTGGCAAACTAATGAGTTTAAGTTTCCATCTAAACTTTCTTGATTACTTTAGATTCAATACGACCAATTCTATTAATCCTCTTCTTATTAGATGGTATACGTTAATTAGTTGTTGCTACTATACCCAAATAGTAGTATAAACTATAAAATACTCGCCATACCAAAACATAAATATAATGGTAGAAGAAAAGTCAAGGACAGCTACTGAGTTTTTTACATCAAAATTCTCAACTGACCTCATGAATTAAAGCACACAACATCATGGCCTCATGAATGCCATCATAAAATTCTTCATCAAGTTTTACATTGGATTATTGAAGAAGCAGAATCGTTTAGTTTGTTTCAACTAACATGTTAGGTCATGGGCAATTACTTAAACCTCAATCTCTTGTGACCATTTGGTTCACACATGCCTAGGCCATATGTCTAAACTACTAATTAAACATGAAGCCTCCTGACCTCAATTTTTCTTGTTATATTGCAAATATGTATACTTGTGTATGTGATTGTGTGTCCATATATAATAAGTCAAGAGGGCCTAACAAAATCAACTGTCACACTCACTTAAGCTGTAAATGACAAACATATATATATATATATAAATACATATTTATGTATGTATGTATATACGTGCGTATATAAAAGGTGATTAGTCTTTTAACAGAATCGTAATACTACTTTAGAAGATGCTTATCAACCAAAAGAAGTGAAGTTAATATTAATCCTTGAAGGATAGGTTTGCATGGGAGGCAAAAACGTACCCTGCTGGAGATTTGGTCACGTCTTCCTAAAAAGTGTTACAGATATGAATCTCCTGCAAACTGTCTAATCTGATACGCATATTAGAATTAAATCCCACCAACCTAAGAAAATCAAGAACAGTTTTTTTTTTCACTAAATATGGAAGACACAATGGCCACCAACTAGCCTGCCTGATCCAATCCACAACTATCAACTCCAAAATATGTTGTTTGTCAACAACTGTCAGTTAAGATTAGCAGATTGATTAATCCATTTGTTTTGGAAAGGTGACAAAATTTGCATAAATGTGGTACACTTATTTACTTTTCTCTGTCCTCTAAATTGTTGATTATGCCAAAAGAATTGTTTGTTCTAAATTGGTAGTCTTTCCTTTCCTCCCTAAGTAAAACTGTCGCCCTTTTGGAGAATCGAACTCAACTAAACCATTAGAATGAGTCAGAAGCTGAAGTCAACCATGTGTCTATCTACCATTCCTGCACACTGCAATTTTTTACTGGTAGCTTTTGAGTTGAAGGGCGGACACATTTTTGGGACCATATGATTTTCCAAATTTCAACCTCATAAGTGCTCCCCAAACTACAAGTTTCCAAACAAATCAAAATTCAAGCTCATCCAAGGAAAAAAGAACAGAGAAATTAATGGTGCCAATATCTCATTATATGCTAGTCTTAGGCATTTCACTAACTTAACACATTCTAACTCCTGAGATTTTTACTCAACTCACACACTAATACAAATACTAATTATTCCTTAATTAGTACATTCTAGTTGGTTTTTTTTTTTTTGCCTTTTTGGCATTTATTGTTACATATTTTCCTCTTTCTTTTCTATCAGCTTAACTAATATCATCTAGAAAGAGCAAGTAGTTGAGTGCAACTAGCTCTAGTCTAATTCATGTATAGGAACTCCCAGCTGAGAAGCAGAAGAAAAACTGGTATTGTTTGGTTTGTGCTAATCTAGCCCAGTAAAAGAAACTGATTTTTATATGCAACCCTTTTTGATTAATCGTATGCGTCTCGAATTAGATTATTCAAATTTTGATATGTAAACATTCTTTAAGATCATAATAGTACATTTAACTTCCTATTATTCTTCAAAAAAAAAAAGAAAAAAACTTGATGGAGACACCAAAACTTAATTAGACATAAATAGGCATAATTAAAAAATCATAAATACTTATTTGGTATAAAAATTAGGTTATCATCCCTTTACTCCCTAGCGTTCAGTTCTATTATCAATTTCTCCCTTAACGTTACATTTTAATCATTTTATCCCAAAATTAACGGTTAAACTTAACGGAGTTTGTTAATTAAAGTGAAAAGACATGTTTAACCCTTAGAATTATTATCACTTTACCCCTTAAACTATAGGCTCATTATCAATTTACTCCATTGAGTTATTTTTTAAGCAATTTATCTCACCGTTAAATCAACTTAGCAAGTTAAAAAACTTTAGAAGAAAGTACCTCCTCTTTATATAATAAAAATAATAAAAAATTTAGAGCAGTTCTTCTCCTTTTTAGTATCAAGAAAAAAAGTCAAAATATTAATCTCTTTTTCTTGACAATCTTATTAATATTAAAACAAATAGAAAGATGGGGAGGGGGAGGAGGAGGGGAGAGAGTGAGATTGAGAGAGAGCTCAATTCTTTTTTAAAAAATTACAAATAAGAAAGAATTAATATTTTTATTATTTTAAAATTATTTTACTTTTCTGTTTACTGCCCAATTCCAATTCTAATCCAACAACTTTAAAGTAATACGACAATGTTAGGCTCTTCTTTATTTTCTTTCTTTGCAAAATCTAATTTTGTGTCTCCTTCTTTCCTATCTCTTTTTCTTTTCATAGTATTAATAAGTGTGAAAAAAGAAATTTGAGAAAATCCTTTTATTTTTATATTTTTTAATCTCTTAAAGTGAAAAAAAGGAAGAATAACCATTCCAACTTTTTATTTTTAATTTTATATATAAAAAAAAGGTAAATACATTTAAAAAATTTTTACCATACTAGTTAGATTAACGATGAGGTAAAATACCTAGAAAATGATGTTAGGGATTAAAGTGATTGTATTATTATAATTTAAAGGGATAAAGTGATAATAACAATGTAGTAATGCTATAGAATAAAAGGTTATTTTTGTCCAAAATTTCTTAATATGTTGAGTTGAATTACTTATGGGGTGAAGTGACTAAAAGATAACATTAAAGGGTAAACTGATAGTAGTAATATAGTTTAAGGGGGTAAAGTGATAATAACCCTAAAAATTAAACTTAAGCTCAAAGCAAACAAAGTAAGATCCAATTTGTGATTAAGTGAATTAAAATTCGTTTAGAAGAGACATTTCATTAATCTTGTTCCACTATCAGGTCCAAACAAGATTTGGGCATCTAAGGTGGGTCACATTAATTAGCCCATCGGACATGAGATAGCCGCACTCCCTTGTGGACAGTTCTCGTTGGCCCAAAAAAGACCACTTATTTAATCAGGCCATGACCACATAATTTTTTCTTTTTTTTTTTTTTTTTTTTTGCCCTTTTGGATGTGATTGAGTGCATTCTAAAATTGGACCATGCTTCACAACTGGGTATGGAAATCTTCACATACACAAAAAAAAAAAAAAAAAAAAAAAAAAACTAGCCTAGTGAACAATTACTAATTTTTCACATGTAAACCTAATAAACTCCACCATAAGAAGACTCTTATGTTTTTAGTTTTTTCACATAATGCTATGGATGGATTCTTCTATTTCGTACCTAAAAGACACAAGATAAAAGGTGTTGTATTACCTCGTTCACAAAAAGTTTATTTTATATATCAAAATGTATGTCATCATTTTTGAGTGAGTCCATTCGTTCTTTTTGGTATGTTGGGCATGAAATAGAAAAACAAAAAAAAAACTTGATATGAATAACATAAGCTGCCCACGCTAGGTAACTCAACTGGTTTTCATTCGGGATTTTTATTATAAGGTTTCTGATTCGAGTTCCAATTATAACCATCCTGAACATCGGTCAGACCTGCTATGCCTGGACGTCGTGGAATTAGTCGGGTGTAAGTTCGGATATCCACAATGTCGAAAAAAAAAAGAATAACATAAACTAGTTGTTACTATAAAATGAGATAGTAGTACTTATGTTATCACTAGTCATTACCCACTAACCTTAGTGTAACAAAAGTGAATTAGACTTGTTGGGGCAGAGGACATAATTATCGATGGTGAGTGTAGTACTATAATATTTGATTTTGGAATCCATCTTCACATAGTTCTGGACCGAGGGCGAAAGTGGCCAGATTGGGGGCTTTGCTTATCAACTGACTTGGAATAGTACAAAATGCTTCTTAATGAGGCCTTTAGATCCAAGATCGTACAAGTTTGACCAAAATCACGTTTGCTTTTTTTTTTTTTTTTCCTTTTCCCTAAGGTCCATCCAGCTGATAGACATATTAAGTTAGATAATCATGAAAACTCTGATTTAACGCTCAATTTCTTGCCTTGTTCCTTCTCCATTGTAAAGAATAAGGATTGAGTCTTTTGAACCCAAACACAAAAGGAAAAAAACTGATTATATCACGTTTAATCTTTTTTCTATTTGAATTAGACCACCTTCTTTTTCAAGTCAAGTTCTTGAACTTTTTGCATCATGGATCATGCAGTTAGCTCCCACATGCATTACAGATTTTTTACGTCTCTGCACACCAAAATATGACTGTTTCTGCAGTTGAAAAGAGTATTGTGAATTTTGAAGAGATTAATCATCAAAAGTTATGTCCAATGAGTTATCCAAATTAATGTGATAGGAACAAATAATAGCTAGTTGCTTTTAGTTACTATGTCATTGGGGATAAAATTCTCAAGAAGCAATTATCTTTTCAAATAAAGATCAAAAGGACAGATGCCATAGACCAAAGGATGCTCTACCTTTACACATTAACTTCAAGTTTTGCAAGCCATTTTCTCCTCTTTATAAAAAAATAGTCCTAAAAGTCTTACACCTACACATATATATATACACACATTTGCTGTGAAACTAATAAAATATGTTGCTAAAATAGGGATTGGAATATTAGAAAAAGAAATAGAGAGAAAATAAAGAACTATTTTCTTATTATTTCAACTGATCAAAAGTTATTACAAAATAGGTTAGAATACTTCTATATATAGGTAATATAAGATCAAAGGTACATGAATCCTATTAAATACTCATTAGTACTTCAAGTACGTCAATTGAATAACTCCATAAATGGACTAATGAATAATAAAAGGATTCATCCAATGTATCTTCTTCATTCAATGTACCAATGAATCTGAAGGATGATTGTGAATCAATCTTAATAACATATATATATATATATATATATATATATATATATATATATATATATATATATATATATAAAATAACAACCATTCACAGTTGAAAGTCATCACTCGAACAAGTCAAACAACAGCCTATGCATGGAAATTCACTCTGGGGGACATATTTGAGGAATTTAAGCCTATGACTAACTCGTTGGTAATTTGTTTTTCTTCATTTTGTTTTCCTGTAAGCAATTCATTGGCAATTTAACTTTTGTAAGTACTGCAAACCTTTGATGTTTTCGTTACAGCTTCACTGCACAAAGCACACGAGTATACTGCCTCTTGCATTATGTGTACGCATAATCATAATGCCAAAACTTCTAAAAACTCCCTGAAATGTTTTAAATATTGCCTTCATATTCGTTGAAGTTATAATAGTTTTTTGATGCTTCGTGCCTCCTGGTGCTTTAGCAGGTCCTTCATATCATCATCATGGGGAAGTGGACGCTCTGATCGATAAGTTTCTAACATCTCGGCTTCATTAATGACAATGTATATTTGCTGCAAGTAAGTATCTTCTTCCTTTTTTCCTCCCCATACAAACTTTCTTAACTTTTGCATAAACTTTTACTCTGTTAAGTTGCATGACCTGGTAACCTTTGCTTAATTTGTTGCCCGTATATCATATAGAATGTAGCCATCTATTCTACACTTTTCTTCTGAATAATCTTCTATATACTATCAGATTTAGATGAATGATAATTAATTTAATTATGAATTTGTAATTCAATTTTTATATATATGTTATGTATCTAATTATGATAATATCAGTATATACAAGATTTAATTTTTTTTCTTAATACCATTGATATTAATTGGACTGACCTGGCTTTTAACCTATTTATCATATGTTACGTGGGTTACAAAAAATGATAGCCAAGAAACAAGGGTTAAAAATGCTGCAGGTTTAAAAGTTTTTAGAGTTTAATGCCACGGGCGACTCATTATCTTTTGTGGCTTATGCAATATTCAAGATTAAAATTATAACAAGTGACAGTCCACTCAATTCGAACTCCATAATACTGAATAAATAATTAAGAATCTTTGCCTAAACCTTTTAAGTTCTTTAGAAGATTTTCACTCCAAATGTAAATGCTAAGGAGCAACAAAAACCTGAATGATGGAGGGCGGAAGCTGAAGCTTTATCAACCTCTGATTCATGTCTAGTGTTCAAGAATCAAGGAAATGTGTGTTCATTGATTTATCTCCGGTTACAAAAAAAAATGATGATGCAATCATCCAAGCAACAAATGGTATTGATATCCAGATAAATTATTGTATTACTAGTCTGCTAGCATTAAACCTATCAATTAGTCCTACAAATTTGTTTTCCAATAATGCATGCTAGCCATGAAACATATAATTGTTGCAATCTAAATTCCGTTAAGAATGTCATAATGTTTAGATTAGTAATGAACGTGCAAACTATTCCTTAGGATGGATGGCTACCAGAAATCATTTGACTCAATGAACAAAATGCTGTATTTGACATATATCCTTGTTTAAAGATCTTGGCTGCTTAAAACTTCCCAATATTTGCTCCGGCATGCATTTGCATTAGAAGTGAGGCATGTAGGTAGCATCAACAAAATGAAATCCTACTCTATCCTAAACATTCATTTAAAAAAAAAAAAAAAAAAAAGCTTTCAGAAAATGCCAATGAAGTAACGAGAATGTGTTCTCCCAAACTTCGGATATATCTACTAGAATGGAGATTTTCTTCTATTCTGAGTACTAGACAGGATCTGCACATAGGGAATGGAGCAGGTACAGTTAACTTTAGATGCAATTGGAGCGGTTATTGTTCTCTTTTCATGATTTAATGTACACTCACATAATTTGGATGTATTTCATAATTTGGTATACACTCACGTAGCTTTTGTTGTACATGTGTCGGTTTATCTATCTAAAAAAGTACAATTCATTGTTTAATCCATAGTACAATCCTATACAACCTGGAACCAGAACTGTGCTGTTGCAATTAATCCATGAGAATTGATTGCAGGCTTTACTATATTCTATATAAGCCAAAATTATATTCCTCCGTGGTTTATCTTGATTCCTATTGTTGACAAATTAATTTAATGTTCAGCACTTCTACTACTCGATAGTGGAACTTTTCTTGAACACCAATTACCGGATCGAAACAGTAAAAGGACCTAAGAAAGGTCATTAAAATAGCAGTACGAATCTCGAAGTTTTGCCAGGTTTATCAAATATCAAGTAAAAGAAAATTAACATTCAGGTACTTATAATACATGTCGTGAATGTTTGCAATATATGTAATTAACACACACAGCATTACAGCATACCACAATCACACCACACCAATAACAGGAAAAGATGATTATCGACCACAAGAAACAAACCTCCATCACACGCAGTGATGCAACCACTTATACATGATACATAAAATAGAAAGACAAAAACCCTAGAAATCTTATCAGCCGTATAATAAACTTTTTATATGTTGTAATTCAGAACTGCTTTTCAACTTTTTCATTCGTGAGCTTGGGATCATTGTGATCAGAAGAAGTGGTGGAAGCCACCGACGGAGCATCCCATCCAGGACCAAATGTGAATGCAGTTGTGGAAGATATCAAAGCATCACAATCTGTAGCAGTGCTCGTGCTATTGGGCTGCAGCTGCTGCTGTTGAAGTAGGTTTGGGCTGTTGAAAGCATCCTCGTTGATTAATGAATTTAAGAATGATGAGAAAATATCATCAGTGCAATAGTTGGTATCATCATCGTCTTCATTGCTAAATCCCTCATGACTGCTCCTCAAATCCATCCCATAAGTAACATCCCCTTCATGATCAGCATTCTGCATGTTCACGTGAACTTTTCCAGCTGCTGTTTCAGGGTTTTGGTACTGATCGTCAGAATTAAATTCAATCCCATCGATAGGGATGTTGCTAGTACTTGCATCTCTCGAGACTACTGCTGCAGAAGGCTCGTAGCTACTGGAACTGGGATGATCAGCTACTGTGTGATGCAGTTTGGAGGATGAAGCTTTGTTTTCATTGTTGGAGTCGGAGTAATTAGGTTCCAGAGGCTTGTGAGTTCTTGGATCAATTCCTTGGCTGATCAACTTCTTACTCAGGTGAGTGTTCCAGTAGTTCTTGATTTCATTATCCGTTCGTCCTGGAATTCTCCCAGCGATCAAAGACCACCTGCAACCATAACATATACAACTTAGGAAAGTACTAAATGAATTAGTGAAACCACACTAGTGTTGTAAGACAAATTCTCGTCCACAGTATTGCTCCTCGTACGTTTGTCTTTCAACCTAAATGTTCGAGGAGAATCTTGTGTGCATTTGTTGCTCGATGCATATTACCTACATTTGTTGGTCTCAAAAAGTTTAGATCAGAAGAATCTACCGGAATTCGTCCCCACGAACAAAAGGAATCCCGCATCAAATAGGGAAAAACAAAGCTTTTTCAACGAGTGGAACAGTGAAACCCTAGACCTAATGGTTAAAAAAATAAAAATGTAAAACAAACCCTAGTCAGGAAAGGCACGAGAATGACAACATGGAATTCTCTGATCAAAACCCTCCGAAGATATTCGCTCTGTTTTTTGGGTTTTGATTTGTTAATCTGATGAGTATATAATAACATATGTGATGGACCTGTTGCCAAGTAGGCGATGAAGGCGGAGGATGAGATCTTCTTCATCCCAGGCGATGTGGCCGCGCTTAACGGAAGGACGGAGGTAATTCATCCACCGGAGACGGCAGCTCTTGCCGCAGCGGAGGAGACCTGCCTTCTTAGGCAGAGTCCTCCACCGGCCTTCGCCTTCTCTCTTGATGTAAGTGCTTAATAGCTCGTCTTCTTCGGGTGTCCACGGACCTCTCTTTAAACCCACCTTCGTCTTGTTTGAAGAAGCTCCAGCTCCTGTACTATTTGCTGCTGCTGCTGCTTGTGGTTTTGATGATGGGTTCCTCATTTCGGCCACTCTCCAGTAGTTTTTGCCCTTGTTCTTGTGGTTCTTGTCTGGTAGATTTTGAAGACGGAATGGATAGCTGAATATCGGAAATATGCTTATCGAAATGTATGCTTCGGAGTTAAGGATGGAGATAGAATGGGTCCGCACGCATACACCTTGCGAGCGTGATTGGCACGCGCTGTCATAGGTGGATTACGATTATTTTGGTTAAGAATAGTTCTAATACAGTTTTTTTAATACATTATTTCAAATATTCCTTTCAAAGAATGATGAATTTTGTTCATTTAACATCATCCATCTTTAATTGATCTATTTGTGCGGTTTTCACTTGTCACCTATTAAGAAAAAATATTGAACTTGTATGCTCTTATATTTGCCAAGATTTATTCATTGCTTTTCTTTGAGGCCAATTCCTTAGATTATAGTTGAAAAAAAAAATCAGTGACATGCATCTAAAGATATTAATATATACACTATCAATGCACTAACATGTATGCCTTTACATACATGCTACCTTATTCTAATTTTGAATTTGAATTTTATTTTCTGCACATATGACATGCATCTAAAGATATTAATATATACACTATCAATGCATACAAAATTAAGGATAAACTACAAAAAAGTCGCATATGGTAAATCTAATATATAGAAAAATCCGCCATAGTTTTAAAATATATAACACGACTCCGTACTTTGAACTAAATTGTAAAGGTGACGGAATTCGTTAAACTTAACGGAAATGACTTATTGGAATCTGAAAAAAAAATTATACCTAATTTTTAACAAATATACCTATTCTACCTCTTAACCATCAATTCTCTCTATTTAGAGAATAAAATAAATAATTTTTTTATCTGCATTTTGCTTAATTATATCAGGACATTCTGGTCATTTCATTTATTTCCGTTAAGTTTAACGGATTCTGTCACATTTACAATTTAGTTCAAAGTACAGAATGTCGTGTTATATATTTTGTATTATATATTTTGAAACTAAGGGGAATTTTTCTGTATATTAAATTTATCTAAGGGAGTTTTTTTGTTTTTTACCCAAGATTAATCATAATTAGAAATAGAAAGAGACAGAGACAGAAAAAGACTGCGAGAGGCAAATAAGACCCGTGACAGAGAGTGAACAGCACGCGCAAAGAATGCACTTGGGAAGACATACAATGCCGGGGCAGATTAATATCCACTCAACGTGATGTACGTAATTTGGTCTGCATCTGGGGCCAATTGGGATCCTTGTTGGCCCCCACAAATTTCCGCTTTCCAATGTTGGAGAAGGAAAAGGCGCTACGCGTCCCCTTGTAGCAGTCGGCGCTTTCTTCTTCTGCTTCTTCTTCTTTTAGTTTTTTTTTTCGGTGCAAATGCTAAATCTTCAATTCAGACAACAGCAGGCAAAGTTGCCAGATTTCACGTTGGGGATCATATTCACCTTTCAAAAGATATTAGCAAACCTTGTAAAACAAAAAATGGAAATGTTAAGAAGCCTTTCTATCATGTGAAAATGACACACTAAAAATTGAAGGATATGAAAATTGTTAAAAATTTTCTAGTTTTGACATAAGGTATCCCAATAATAGGATGGACTTGTTCTTGATTGATTATTTTAACTGATTATCGATTTTGATTGTTTTATAATTAAATTTTGTGATATTTTAGATTGCTTTTATATTGTGATTATAGATTTTTTAAATTTTTTAATGAACGTAAAGGCTAAAGTTTATAATCATTCAGAGAGTAATTTTTGATGATTCTGATTATTCTCCATGATCAAAGTGAAAACCACATTATTTACCGACTCCACCCAACCTTCCTAAGTTTTTATAGATTTACACTCCACTTGTGATTTCTGTTACCGTCAGCCCAATTTCTGTTGTTCTTGAAAATTACATGAACTTAACGTCAAAAATCAGAGAATCACACCTCTGTTTGTCACAAATATTGTTGCAGAGTTGGGCATATCTTTAACTTGATTGGTCTTTAGCTACTTAAGGTTTAATTTCAGTTTCAAGTTAATTGACATTTCGTACGGTTTGTCTTTACTGTAGAAGTTTTCTAAAAAAATTTTAGAAGTTTTCTAAAAAAATTTTGAAGTGTGTTTTTTTTTTTTGAATATTTTGAAGTGTATAGTTTAAAAATTTTGAAAAATTTTTTGAGATTAGTGTAACTAAAGTTTTTAAAAAACTTGTAGCAGACAAACTTGACAAAAAACTTGGCTTCCAAACAAGGCGTTTATTATTGGTTGAGCCCATGCCAACCCTTTTTGTTGTAACTTTTTCACTATTACCATTATTAAGAACAAACCCTCAATGTATCCTCCTAAACCAAGCAAATCTTAAGACTTGGTTTATCGACTTTTTGCAAAAATGTATGAATTAATAGATAAAATACGTAACTGTGTATGTGAAAAATTTTTACTGTAACGGTGTACCTGAAATTGTGCATCTCTTTTAAATTGTTTTTGGAGTGTTTCCGGAGATTCCAAAGACAAAAAGAGTTTCTTGTGAACCCAACCTTCACAAAACGAGTCCGAAGATGAAAGGCAACTCAATAGTTTAAGCACAATAAATAATCATCTCAAACAAAACCCCCCATTCTCATATTAGGCAGGACTTGAAGGAGCGGCTGCTGCTTTTGCAGTGCCTGCACAGACATGTGAGAAGAACATCATAAATTTTGTAGACCAAAATCCAGAAGAATTAAGCAGATGCATGGGTGAGGCAAAACAATAAACAAACAAAATAAATTGCATAACCTAACTGATCACCAAATGCAACTAGTCTACAAAGTCCTATACTGTAGTTTGACGTGTAAATTAAAATACCAAATAAGCAGCAAAGTCACCCAATAATTTGCAATTCTTGGGGAAAAGAAAACAAAAGCAGACGCTTGTGAGAAGGAAAAAAAGGAGCGCACGTTTGGCTGGCTTCAGTTGGTTTTCCTCCTTCAATAGATCATGCATCATAAGCCACCCTTCCTCAACCCTTGTCAGCCATGGTTGAACTCTTCGGTTCTGTTTCTACTTTTCTCCTTCATCAATAGCTAAAGACAGCTGCTTAAATCACGGTGAAAGGTCCTCACATTCCCTCCAGATCCTCCCACGGACCATGCAATCACCAGGGATGGTGGGTGCCTGATCATAAACTCGTCCTCTATTTTTAGTAGGACTGCAAGCAAGCCAAGTTTGCTTGGTCAAAGACTCAACTCCAACTCAATTTCTCAATATATATATATATATATATATATATATATATATAGCAAGTTGAATTCGAGCATCAGTATTTAGTACTCGAGTACCCAAGAATATTATGAAATGACTATTATAGGTTCATATCTTAGCAAAAATCGAGCTCGAGCTTCCAAAAGGTTCACAGTATTCTTGAGCTCAATCGAGTCAAGCTCAAACTTGATTACAATGGCCTTGAATTGAAGTCGAGTTTAATGTTATGTACTCGTTTGAGGTCAAATTCAAATAGTATTGGCATTGATTGAGTTCGAGTTTTTAGTAGCAAGAAAAGTATTAGCCAAATTGGTTAGTGGACATTGGTTTTTGCCTCAAAAGTTTCAAGAAAATAGGTGGAAACGAGTTCTGAGTTCATGACTTTCATCCCAAAATTTAGAAAAAATTGCAGAAACCTCCCTTAAAGTTTCTTATAGTAGAACTCACCTCCCCTCTAGTTTAAGAAATTGCATTGACCACCCTGAACTTAAGGAATCTGTTGCAGATTTGGTCCAAGCTAGAAAGATTCTCACTAAAAAATTGCTTTAAAGAGTGAGATGAGATATTTGTGCCAGATTTGCCTTTCATCTTGCTTGCCTAGTAGTGTTAGCAAAGGAAGGACAAAAGCTATTAAGGATCAATAAACTTCAAGGGTTATAAGTGCAAACCATTTCCAATGCACATACAACAGCTTAAGCATCAAGTGAAAGCAATGGCTAGTTAAATAGTTAAATGAGGTTTGAACTTGCACTAGCCTATAAATGAGGTCTGGTTTAGCAATCCACTACTACAACTGGTTTTGGGAGTAACACAGCCGGTTTCCTTGACTTTAGTTGGGTAGTTGAAGGTGAAGTATTTGATGCGAACTCGACTCGACAAGAACCTGTTTTGAAGAACTACATCGATCAGGCAACGGAAAGATCTATCTTGATTAGATTATAAATATAAAAAATGGATTCTAACATAATTAAGGATAGCTCAAGATTATTTAAAAGGGTAAAAACACCACAATTCAACGCGATCTTGAATTGATAAGCCAGAATTTGAACAAAGGAGATAACTCACTTTGTATCAAAGGGCATTCACAAAGGAACAAGAAACAGATGAAACTCTCAAAGTTTAATTCTCATATTCGTCTAACTTCTGAAAACGTTACAAGTTAGGCTTATTTATAATATTACAAGATACAAAAATCTAATCCAAGATGGAAACAATGAAAGTTTCCTAATTAGACTTGACAACTTTGCTTGACACAATTTTCTAAACTCTAACAAGACTCAATTAACATGCTACATTGGTTAGATATGCCTTAGTAGACTTACAATACCCAAACAGACACTAGAAAGTAGAAAATAACTTAAAATACAAAAATCGTATAAAATTAAAACAATGAAGTGCGACATGAATCCGTTGGACGGATTCTACATTTTCTCCATCGATTTCATCAATCGGTTACAATCCGTTCCATGGTTAGCTCGGATTGGTCCACCAGATTTGTCCAACGGTTTAGGACCAGAATGTTGGTTATTCGGTGGATTTTCCTATGATCAGTAATCGGCCGACGGATTGAATACTTTGTCCCCTAGTTAGGTCCCCCAGTTACACTTCTTCCAAGCCTGGATTCGTCCACATTTTTGAAAAGGTAATACTAAACAATTTGTTTAAGTTACTAAACATTTTAGAAAGGGTAATACTAAACAATTAGTTACTCAATTTGTTTAATTAGTAATTAATTAGTTTATTTACTCCAATTTGTTTACAAGCAACATTCATTCTTTTGTAAAATTTGTTCATCAAAAAACTGCAAATAATTGGGGGTAGCTAGGTAAATTCACACACTCTTTTGACAGCAATAGGCCCCAATTAGTTCCTAGGGGAGGTTAGTGCTATTTTGTAAACCATAGGGTAGGTGAGTGCTACTCAAAAAAACCTCAGCGGAGGTTTCTGCAATTATTCCCAAAATTTATCAACTGCGCTTGCTTTTCTATATCACACACACTATAATAAAAGTAAAATTAGTCTTATGAAATCTTTTACATTTTCCAATTGAATATTAAATAACGTTACATTTCTATTTCTTTTCTGATAATACCTTACATTTATGCAGTATCTTGCAGGGCATCGGCAATGTGCCTGATCAAGACCAAAGCAGTTCCAATACCTACTGTCTTTAAAAAGAATTAACAGGTGCCTCTTCTATTTATTTATCATATTTCTAGCGGTAATTTTTGGATTGAAATACATATAGTTTAAGAGGGGTAAATGTCTATAGAGGATAGGCTGCCAAAGAATGTTGGTCACCTTAAATTCTGATACAGATGTAGCTAGTAAACTGTCTATACACTGTAAGGGAAATAAAAGTCACATGCTACTGGGGAAAAAGATTTTGGTACAAGAACTTGTTATGTAGGCATAGTCTGCAATCTTATATGCTTGTACTTCTGATCTGTGTTGAAGCGTCTTGCTGTTTCTGTGAGGCCTTTAGACAAGACTTGTTCCAATGCGTAAGCCCCTTCCTTTAGTGCAGCATCAATCTAGTGAACCCAAAAAGTGAAGTCAGCTTTTTCGCCTTTCCCTTTCGTGCTTCAAAAGTTAGAAATGAAAAATATTGCTCAGAGAAATTCATTTGGGAAGCATGATGGAAGTAAATGTCATCAACGATCGCCAAAATGGAAAAGGATACCCACAAAAAAAAAAAAATGAAACAAACTGCAGCCAGCATAAGGAGACAAACAAAGTCAAATACAGAATGTATCATTTTCATGAAACCAAATCTGATGACAATTGTCCCTTCCAGGACATCTGATGAAATTAGAATCTGACGGAAATCAAGTTGAACTAATCATCAACTTCATGGCTGACCATGGCATTACCTATGGTTCCAAAATAAGTCTTAAAAAACAGCTTACAGGCTGCAGAATTCTGTATTAACAATATAAGAAGGGTAATTGAAGAGAGAGGGGCCTTTCTGAATGACATACCCGTTCCCTAGCAGCCGCATTAAACTTTTGCAGCAAAAATGCTTTTGGATCCATTTGACCAGGAGGCCTGCCAATACCTAAGGTGCAGAAATAATGGTTGTGCTCTTCACACTGTTATGCAGAGGAGCAGGAAAAAGGAAAGCAACTAACCTATTCTCAATCTAGGAAACAACGTATTTCCACGAAAATTATGTATTACACTCTTCAGCCTGACAAAATATCAAAACATGCAAATAGGTCAGACATCCTGAATTCAACAGAAAAAGAGACCATTTTGAAAAATTGTATCATTGGTAACAGTTCCAGCCAGGGGGCTAAAGATCTAGTCTTTTTGCTTTTTACCTTTGTGCAATGTGTTGGGGAGTTAACTTATTCTAGTAATTGTCATACAGTGCAAGGAACAAAGGAGAAGACTGACAAGTCTGGATATCTACTGGGCACCAATTCCTTCTATAGGAACGATTAGAATTTACTCATAATGGAGGGTTGGCAGTATCCTCTGTAAGCCTATAAAACGTTAACAAGTACAGACTAATCTCAGTTTTCCTGTACAGCTATACCAAATCGAATCTTCTGCAAGCCCACAAAGCCCCACATAATCTGAGTGTGCATGTACTCAAGCATTTATGCATGTGTTAGCTATTGAAATAAAAACTGATCAGTTCCAAAAGGTAACTTTGTGAAATAATGTCTGACTAGTGTGTACCTGATAGATGGCAGTATAAAAGAGTAATGGCAGTTTGCACAACTAAAGGAAACTAGGGGTTGAGTGCCAGCTCAATTTTCATAAGAGAGTTAAAATAACGATAAGTAGACTCCTTCAATAACCTTTCAGAAAAAATTGTACAAGTTAGAAACTGAGAGATCTGATAGGGCAAGAAAATAAAACATTGGAAAGAAAGAATTTAAGGCTGCTTCATTGCAGTTTATTCAGAAGATACTAAAGCAAAGCTTTTGGATGTACTCCCAAGAGGATAAATTTTAAGAACTCCTTGTCAATCAGCTGCATGCTCAATTTGAGCGGTGAATACATGTTTGTGGGAATTCAGTGAAAGGGAAAAGATACAGACAACAGGAAGGGGCAAAGAACCCTCTGCCAACACCATAGATGAAGTCCTTCTTGTCAACCAAGCAAATTAAAATACGATCAACAAATACTGAAGTCGTTGACCGGCAAGATCGTGCAATGGCTGTTTAGTCAAGTTTCACTTGCATTACATAACCAGATAAATAGAATCAAAAACATTATTATCACATTAGAAGAGGGAGGTTGACAAGGACAACTTCTTGTCAGGACAATGGAAACTAATCTTATAGAATATCAACACAGAAAGTTGTTATTTCATACCCATTATGACTTCCATGGCCCCCATTGTGATGAAGACGAAGTACGCCACATGGCAAGTTCATGTCATCATGAAACTACAACCAAAACCATGTCTTTACAATACATCCTTTAACCCAAAGGTAAACATATATCAGTCAATATTGAGCTACCTACCACAATGACACGATTGAGAGGAAGCTTATAATACGCTGCAAGTGGACCACTCTGAGCCAAAAAAAAAAAAGGACACATGGAAGTAATCACCAGAACAAATTGAAATGAATAGTTTGCATGCTGAGCAATATCAAGTGAAAAGACGAACAAAAAAGAAGATTTTCTCAAAAAGTAATTAGCAAGGGAAAAAAAAAAGTTTAAGACAAACACTTTCTGTGAAACATTTTGATCTTGACCATATTCCATATCCCAACTAGTTTATCAATAGAGTTATCCTTTAAAAAGCAAATAAAAATGCTTCACAACACTAAAAACATATAAACCATGTGAGAAAGGAAACTTTATGCCACAAACTGAAAACAAGTACCAGATTAAGTCATCGTTGCAACAAATTGTAGCAAAGATCATTTCATTGGCAGTCAACAAAAATTCTCAAACACTCTTTTGTTTTTTTTTTTTTTTTCTTGTGTGTTAGTTGATCATTATTCAATTGCTCAATCTAGATTTTGGAAAAGGATTGAAAATTATAATACTAATTTTGCAGAAAAAAAGAAAAGGAAGAAATAGAAGGACAAACATAACTACTACCTCATATAGTATATAATTTCTGAAAATGGACGAGCAGCTAGAGCTATCACAGGAACATAATTTATCATAATAAGCATATTCAAAATTGTCAACCTTGGAGATGTAAAGGAAATATTGAATCACTTACAGATTCACCACTGAGATTCATGTATGTTTGGGGCTTTGCAAGGAAAACAGGGACGCCATTTACAAAACCTGTAGATCAATTAATCAGCTCCTGTTGTCAAACTTGGAATGAAAAGCATGCTTATTGCAAATCAGGTTCAAACACAATAACACATGCACTTGGTATACATAAGTCAAGTATCGCTACATGCCTTTTCCAAATAGAGCTTTGCAGTGAACTGTGTCCATTGGAATCCCTACCGCCTCTGCAAATGCATCAATCATTTCAAACCCTACCTGTTTCAATCCCACAATGGTAGGGCAAAGTTAGACCTTCCAACAAACAAAAGCATACATCATTCTCGTAACAAGAAAATCCTCAGACATACATTATGTCGTGTTCCCTTGAATTTATCACCAGGATTCCCCAAGCCCACAAAGAGCCATGGCTGAGGTGAAATGCTGCAAAAATAGTGCCTTGACAACCTGCTAAGCATCTATTACTATTTCATCAATTCCCCGTTTATCTGTTGAAAAAACACAAATTACTCGCACAAATAGTCATGCAATACAGTAAAGCCTCAAGCTTTTCTAAACAATGTGCCAAAGTAATGTCACAGAACCAATTGAAGCAATGAACTATTCATAATTACTATCAACAGTCACTTGCAGCTTTCAAAAATTCTTTTTTCTTTTACATATATATAACTAACAAAGCACGAAATTTTGTCTTCCCTGCACCTTTTTCCTTCATGGGGATGCAATCCCCCAAAAAAAAAATACTCAAGAGAATAAATGCAAGTGATTTAGATTGTGAAACTCAAGAGGAACCCATATTTGGGCTGATGTTCAAAACCGAGGCTTGCTATGAGAAAGCAACATTGTCCAACATCATTGAGAAATTAAAAAAGGAATCCTTTTGGGTCAGAGTCCCCAAACATCAGCAGAACAGAACTATAGCAGCATGAAGTTTGCATTCAATTGCCAGATAATTCCATCATTTCATACTCAGGAAGCAAAGCATAACAGTAAAATATGAGCATAACACCCAGAAGACATACGCATAATAGACCTAAGTTGGAGGATTTTCTTCTTTTCTTCTATCAGACGAGAAGAAAAAAATCTTTGAAAGTTTTGAAGAAAGAAAACTTAACCCCAAACAAAAAAATTCGAAAAACCGTAAGAATATATATATAACCACTCCACTTCTATCTATGAGAGTCAAATTATGTTGCGTATGTACTTACAATTTCGTTGCTTGGTTGGTTATTATTTGGGCTGCTTCGGCTCAGAGGAGTGGGCAGCATCGGCCATGGAACTGATGCGCTCGCTGGGCTTGCTTGTTACCTGTTTGATTAAATGTTCCCCTTAAGCATACATCATTCATTCATGCATGTGTTTTTTATTCTCAAATTTCTCTAAATTAGATGCAGCACTAGGTTTTGTTTGGATAGGTGGTCATATCTCATCAACACCTTTTTTTCAATTCAATTATCTTTTCATTTTCACATACATCAAATCATAAAAAAATTTTTAAAAAAAAACTATACTTTTATTTTAAAAGAATTTTTTCCTTTCAAACTTGAAATTTTAATATATGAAAAAAGTATCATCAAGTATTGAGAAAGTTGTTACAATAATATATGACCTGTGTGATATGATGTCTAGTCTAGTTCATGTATTGCCATATTTAAATGTGAACTCGATACTTAGTAGCAATACTCAAGTCCGAGCGAGTTGCTTAAACGAAATTCGACCTCAACTCAACGTAATATTGGAAGGCTCCAAACTCAACTCAATAGAATTCTAGCAAGCTTGACAAACGATTAGAGTCGTAAATATTGCAAATAATCAATTTAAAAAAGTAATTTAATTATTTATAATATATTAATTAAATATTATATCTAGTGCTTGACAGGGCTCAATGAGCTCTCAAATACATGATATATATACTCAAGTTTAACTTGAAAACTCAATCGAGCAGCTTGAAATTGATTTAAGCTCGGCATTGATCAAGGTCGAGTCGAATGCTTAATTGAATTACTCGCAAATTCGAGTCAAGATACTTGACTGATTTGCCCGTCTAAAGGCGACTTCCAATTAAAGTAATAAATACTAACTTGAAAATGTATAGTATGCAAAGTACAATTGAATAACAAAAAAAATTAAATCTAAACTCTTAAGATAAGTATTACGAGGAATTTCCATTATCACAAAATCAAATAACATTTATTATCACAATTTGTCTTTACGAGTTTGTGTAGAAGAATACATTATATTACATTAAAATCATGGCTCAAGAGAGATTGTAATCATATGTAAGGCGAGATTAGTCCTTTGGCATCTTTAACCACAAAAAGAAGAGGGAGGAGTTTCCACAAGAAAATAAAAAGTTTCGACAAGCATATGACGCGCGAGGCGCGGCTCGTGCAGGCCCCCGTTGTCCGCCCACCTCGTTTTCCACTGATTTCGTCTTGCCCACCTTCGCATCCTCCTGAATTCTGTAGCTGCAGCAGCCGTGAGTAGGACGAGAAAATGTTGAGAAGAGTAGCAGCTCAGGCTTCCGCTAATTATCGGCGCCTTCTCGCGGCACCATCATCTTCTTCACCGGGCATAAATAACCCATTTCGCCAATGCTCCACTTCCACTCCTTCCTCTTCTTCACATTCACACACTCCTAATAGTACTTGCGTCGAACACTTGGAAGACTCTCCCTGCACTCCGTCGCCATCTACCAAAATCTCCATCGACCGCTCTGGCTTGTATAACCCACCTGGTGCTTGTTACATGCTTAGACAATTTTCAATGCGAATTACTTCAATTAGCTTAATGACCTAAATAATTGGCTTCTGAACTTTGGCAGAACATTCCCATGGCCCGACTTCTGATTCTGAGCTTGTTAAGAATCTAAAAGGAATCATCAAATTCAGGGGTGGACCCATCACGGTGGCGGAGTACATGGAGGAAGTCTTGACGAACCCAAAAGCTGGTTTCTATATTAACCGGGATGTTTTTGGTGCTCAAGGAGATTTTATTACCTCTCCTGAAGTGAGCCAGATGTTTGGGGAGGTGATTTTTTTTTAACCTTGATATGGTCAAAAGCATTTTTTTAAGATGGGTTGTCTGTTTTTTCCTGATTTAGTATTGTTCTTAAACTACTTATGTTAGATGATTGGTGTATGGGTAATGTGCGCTTGGGAGCAAATGGGACGACCGGAAAAGGTGAATTTAGTTGAACTGGGACCAGGGCGAGGAACTCTCTTGGCAGACCTTCTAAGAGTAAGATAGAGTGCTGTTTTTTGCTGGTCCATTGATGAATTGTTGGGTATTGTTTATTGAATTCTAAAAGGTTGCAATTGTAGGGTGTTTCCAAGTTTAAGAACTTTACAGAATCTGTGCACATACACATGGTTGAATGCAGTCCAGTGCTGCGGAAACTCCAGTATCAGACCTTGAAATGTGAGGGTGAGGATGGGGAGAAACAAATAGTCAGTACTATGACTGGCAGTCCTATATCTTGGCATGCTACAATGGAGGAGGTTCCTACTGGATGTAAGAAGATATTTTGGGCTGTGCATCTGATAGATATATTATTAAAAAAAATAGAAGAAAAAAATAAACAGGCATACCAATGATGGGAGCTGAGCTTGACTGCTGCTAATATGTTTCATTCACTGTATTTACTTGTTTGGAATGCAATATGCCTCCAAAATGGACTTTTTCTGTGCAATGTGCATGTGAAGTTGTACAGTGCTATGTTTTGTGCTCGGGCATTGATGACTACTTTTGATTCTCCTGTCTCCTAGTTTACTTACGATTTAGCACAGTCAGTTTGATTATCTGTTTTCAGTGAAATGTTTTCTAATGCATACATGCTTGAGAAGTATATCTAAATTTTGTCATAACGGCTGTTCAGTTTCAGTTTGGAAATCCTTGCCCATATTTTTTCTGTAAGATCTCCTGTGCTTAGGAATCAATGTCATGGCAGTCTAATGTGTTTGATGTTTTTAAAAGCCCTGAAACTAAGTACCCAGGCAATGGTTTTATGTTTTTTTTTTCTCCAGTGCCAACGATCATTGTAGCCCATGAGTTCTATGATGCCCTTCCTGTTCATCAGTTTCAGGTGTGTATAGTAGAACTGTTATTTTGACACTTTTGTTCTCTTATTTTGTTGCATCATTTATATGTGAATGCATCTGAATGGGGCTAACCTTAGAAACTTGATGCTGAAAAGTTCTTCACGCATAGCTGGAAATTTTAGCAACTATAGATTTTTCATTTGAGCTTCTGTTAAGAAAAAATTTAATTGCAAAATCTGGTAGGTTGAATAAACTTAGGTTACTGAATTCTTGCACTTTATTAATTGAGTTGTAGAATTTAGTTTTCTTAGGGGCCATGTGATGTGATTTTTGTAATTTTGGGACTCATCAAGTTTTGGCTGCTTTGTTTCTGAAACTCTCTTATAAGCCTTTGGAACTAGAACACTGTTCCATTAATTATGGTACCATTCTGGACTTTCAGGCTGATAACTCAATGCTTTCTGTTCTTCTGTGATTCTCTGACGTTTTTTCTCTTGGTTCCTCTGTTGTTCTCCATCCACTCATAGAAGGATTCTGAATCAAGAAGAGCAAATCTTCTAGGGCTGTTCTTTTGATGTAACAGTCATATCTCATCTGAAATAAACTAACAACAAAAAAACCCAAAAGGGAAATAATTGATCATCTTATGTTGCATCTTGTTATTCCCTTTCACGTTTACCCTGTTTGTGATTTGTCTGCAGAGAGCTTCTCATGGATGGCATGAGAAAATGATTGATGTTGACGAAAACTCATCGTAAGTCTTAGAATCATGTCACCTTTTCTTTGTAGGCATAGTTTTAACTAAAAGGGTTGAATTTCCTGATGATAAATGGTGTGTGGTTTGTTGTTTAGGTTTCATTTTGTTTTATCTCCTCGGCCTACACCTGCAACTCTGTATTTAATGAAACGCTGCAAGTGGGCTGAGACTGAAGAAATAGCAAAGCTTTCGCAGATTGAGATTTGCCCAAGAGCAATGGATTTGACTCAAACAATTGCTAAAAGAATAGGTTCAGATGGTGGTGCAGCTCTCATCATTGATTATGGAGTCAACGGAATAGTCTCAGACAGTCTTCAGGTTGTTGCCTTGGTTTGTCATTGCACTCTACATGCACTTGGTTGATTGAAGCTGTGTTTCGGACTTCGGAGTTGCTTGATATTTTCTTTTTTTGTGTAAAATTAGGACTTTTACTGCATAAGGTTTGTTTTATTATTGAATCTTTCCAAACTGGTGCCCCATGTTAATATCAATTGTTCTGTTGAGATTCACTAGCTAATATAGGAAAAATTATTCCAGGACTCATGATAGCTTTTTGCAGGCAATTCGAAAACACAAATTTGTCAATATATTGGATAATCCTGGCTCCGCTGATCTCAGTGCATATGTTGATTTTACTGCAATAAGGCACTCTGCTGAGGAAATTTCAGGTAACCTCATTCTCATCTTCTGAGATTTTTAGTTAAATTATTTTCTTTTGGAGATAGAAATCTGAAAAAGAAATTAAACCTACCTCAAAAATACACGGAGAATGTGAAAATTACTAGTTTGCAAATGCTGATAGGGTGATGTTTTACAGAAAATGTGACAGTCCATGGCCCAATCACCCAGTCTCAGTTTCTTGGCTCTCTTGGCATTAATTTTCGAGTAGAAGCATTGCTAGAGAATTGCACAGATGAACAAGCTGATTCCCTGAGGACAGGCTACTGGCGTTTGGTTGGCGAAGGTGAAGCCCCATTTTGGGAGGGTCCTGATGAGCAGACACCTATAGGAATGGGTACGCGGTACTTGGCTATGGCTATCGTCAATAAGGAGATAGGTGTTCCAGTGCCATTTAAGTAAATACGCTTAGCTGGAATACTCAACTCTTCAACTTAGAATATGCTACCACGGATTTGTCTGTAATTCAATGACCCACGCCAGGATGCTAGTCATATTTGAAGGTCAGGTTCTATCCATGTTAGTTCTTCCCTGCATTTCTTTCAGAAATCAGAATGCTGTTTCCTGCTGGTTATCAAGAGCATATTGATCAAGGAGGTGTGCTGTCTAGGGTAACATCTCCATGGAGAGCTGATTGCACAAGAGCTTCACTGGTAAATGGTTCAAATAGCAGATTCTACAAGATTGTGCAGCTTCATTTCAGGGAAGTTTTGGGTTCCGAAGATAAATAGCAGCTTATACATTGAAAACAAAGCTTTTCTTAAACAGACTCAGTATAGATGTTAATTAGGTGTTCGTATTGTCTTCAGAGTGACTGTTCAATCTTGGATTTTTGACCCCCACAATGAACGTCCTAGTTATATGCTCTTTTAGAAGTCAGCATAGGGCCAGTTAGTAAGGTATCTAAAATGGGATGGTGTTCTCTGTTTTGACAGAGATTAACCAGACTTTACCCTCTGAAGAGGCTTACAACTCGTAGTTGGGAATTAGTAGGTATCATTTCAACTCATTAATTACCAGTTGTGACTTGTGAGGGATGAAATAGGACCGCACATGTTCAATTGCGAATTGTACTACTTTCTCTTCCTTTTTGACTCATTTTACGCATAATTTTGAACCATATGTCAGTTTGCAACCAAAACAATGCAGTGTAGTTAGACCCTGTTTGATAATCTAATTCAATACTTTAACTTAATAGATTTAGATTTTAACATATTCAGATTGTTTGATAACCAGATTTTAACATATTCAGACTGTTTGATAATCAAAAATTGAACATCTGAATTAATTAAGTAGCACTAAATTTTCTAGGTAAAATTTGTTTTCAAAATTAAATGATAAACTATTTATTTATCACTAAATGTGATATGCACTTAAATGTATTAGATATAATATTTAATAATTCAATAATTTAATTGATTCAATTTTCGATTTCAAACTTTAGTTTTATCAAACGCACCCTAAGTGTTAATATCACTCGAGTTCCATTAAAGAAAAATGAAATGAGACAACTCACAATAAGCTTTTAGTCTACGTATAAAATTGTTGGAAAACAAGAAGGCATTGACCTGGCAATTAAGTGTCTAGAGTCCCATGCTAGTGATCATAAATATTAACAACATATGTTAATTAACGCGGTCAAGGCTGCGTATTGATTATAAGAGGGTGAAGTGTAATTAGCCATTATGGATATGTTGTTGGTTTGTTGCTGTACAGCAAGAAAGTGTTAGTATAGCAAAACCTTCACTTCTGATTATTGAGCTAATACATGCAACGCTATTAATTGAGATTAGGATCACTAGCTGCATTTAACCTTGGTTTACAATTTTTAAGCCACATCCTTGAGCGTGCTAACCTAGAATACAATTTTTTAAAAAAAAATAGTACTCCATCCGTCTCACTTTGATAGTCCTGTTTTCTTTTTTCGTCTGTCCAAATTGTAGCCACTTTCCAATTAAAGAATGTAGTTGTATTTTAATTTTCCTAAAATACCCTTATTCAATGTAAGTTGTTTGTTACTATAAACCTACCCCATTTAATGAGAGTTGATTCTTTTTTTACCATCAATTCAAGTTCCATAAAGTTGTACTCTAATTAATGTGAGGTATTTTAGGAAAATAGCTACCTAAATTGATTGTTCCAACAAAGTTAACTACTTTTTATTAAACTGTGTGAAAAATGAACCAGAACTATCAAATGGGACGGAGGGAGTATATTTTTTCTGGGTTGAATGGAGGCCAAAAAAAAAAAAAACCAGCTACAACGAAACTATGCTCTTATTCTTTATAGTGATCAAAAGGGTTTTAGGGTTGGCACACTTCCATTGTCATCCCCAAGTGTACTCATGAGTCTACTTCAGATGTTGAGCATAAAAGAAAAGAGAATTTAGCAAGAGTTGTTGTATACTACTGTCACAAAAAAGGAAAATGAGTGACAATCATTTGGAGCTTGGGTTATTGTATACATTTTTAATGTTTTTGGAGCTGAGAAGAGAATAATTGCATTGAAACCAAGATAGTTGTTTATTTAGTAGGGTAAAATTTGATAGGTGAAAAGTTTCTTTTGTTGGAAACCACGTCATTCATTATGGTTGGTTTTTAATCATTCTTGTCAATGCCAAAAGTATAAAATTTTAGGTTTTATAGATTTTTAAAAGTCAATCAATGAGAACATTATTGATATTGTCTTTGTGCACTTGATCTTCATAAAAAACAAATCAATAAACACTTTCAATGGTGCAAACAAGGAGTATTACTGATAAGTAGTGTATTGAATTTCAATTTGATTGGATGAGACAATGAAACGGACCGGGTTTGTTTGGATTGTAAATTATTTGGGATATTTTTACTGTAACACTTTTTATGATGTGATTTATGTGAGATAAAAAGATAATTGAGAAAATAAAAAGGTGTGTTGGAAATTGTAATGATGATGTAAGCAAATAAAATTTGGAAAATAATGCTCAATCCAAACAAACCCGTAAGTGAGTGGATTTTAGAAATTAATAAATGACATCTTTCAACGGTCTAGAGTCGGTTTGGATGGATATTATACTTTGTTGATGTATATCGGTTTGGATGGATATTATACTTTATTGATGTATATGAAATTAAAAAATGTGTTTATGGTAAAATGTAAAAAATATTTTTTATTATTTCAGTTTCTCCTTTCAAAAGGCAACAAAAGACAGTGAGAACATTTCCCTCCAATTCCAGCCCAACAAAGCCCTGTGCCACTTGGGATTCTGGACCATAAAGGCTACCTTGTACCCACATGAAATGATGCAGGGATACCCTCCAATTTATTATTGTCCCTAATGAGAAGCTCAGCCAGCTTACCCTCACCCCAAAAAATGAAAAAGGACCCAAATGGCCAAATCCCGCCTAATGTTGAATTTCATTGCAACATTATATACTATTGCATTAGCTAATTGGACTAGGCTCAATAGCTTTTTTGATTCCTTAACTTGGAAAAGATAGAAAGGACTTTTTGCTAATAAAAATAAAAGCCTTCTATTGTTCCAAAAGTACTAAATACTCTTACTTGTCAGTAGTATATATACTACAAAATTTTAGACTCTTCTCAAGATGATGTGATTGATAAAACTAAAGTCTAAAATATGAAATTTGACGTGTAAAGTCTGAATTTATTAAATTATTGAATTGTTCAATATTAAATCTAATACACTTAAGTATATGTCACATTCAATAATAAGTGAATAATTTATCACTTAATTTTTGAGAGCAAATTTTGTCCAGAAAATTCAGTGTCACTTAATTACTTCAGATATTTAATTTTTTATTATCAAACAACTTGAATATGTTAAAATTTGAATATATTAAATTTAAATACTGAACCGAGTTATAAAAAAGGGACTTAGTTCTTCTTTTGTTACTAAAATTCCATATCCGCACAATACTACTAGTCTACCACTTCTTCTACATGACACCCAATGACGCAAAATCACATCTAAACTTGAATCTTTCCACCCATGCCCTTTGTTTAGCCCCACCATTATCGATTTCCCCCTACTTTATCTCCTCTCATCTTTTTAAAGCTTTCACACTCATTTAATCAAATCCTTTCTTTCCAATCCTAAAGGCATTATTTGTTTTGCAAGAATGGAAGGGAGAAAAGGAAACGGAGGGATAAAAGGTTTTTGACATTTGGTTTGGTTTGGTTTGGTGTTTGAGAAGGGAAAAAGAGAGATAAGATTCAGTTATCTTTTATCCGCCAACTTTTTCATCAAAAGGGGACAAAAACAGAGAGAATGAGACACCTAGATTAACAAAAATTTCAAAATTTTTCTACAAACATCTGTTATGTTATTATAAATTAGACTTTTAAATTATGGATAAAAATTCAACTAATGCATCATAATTCCATTTTCCTTTCCTTCTTAAATTCAAACAAAGATAGATTGACTCAAATTTCCTCTTCTCTCCTTTCATTTCTTTTCCATTAGAGTCCTCTCATTTCCTTTCCTTCATTTTCATTCAATCCAAACGGTGCCTAAATCTTTTTTTCCATCTAAATGAATTTTAGAAAAAATAGAAATCAATAATGAAAAAGAAAATCAAATAGTGTATCAAATGGAAAAGAAGAGGAAACGGAGGGATAAAGGCCTTTGATGGTTTAAATTGGTTTTTGAGGAGGGAAAAGAGGGGATAAGATTCAATTATTTTTTGTTAGCCTACTTTTTAATCTAAAAGTGGACAGAGATAGAGAGAAGGGATATCAAAATGAATGAAATTTCAAAATTTTCTAAAAAATATATTATGTGTTTTCTTTCTTCCCTTTCATTCAATCCAAACAGTGCGTAAATCTTTTTTTCCATCTAAATAAATTTTAGAATAAAATGGAAATCAAGAACGAAAACATAAGAAAAATCAAATAGTGTATCAAATGGAAAGCAATCAATCAATCAAAGCATAAACCCTCCTTGATGAATATGAATAGTGGGAGTAGCAGCATACCGGTGGGTGGCTCTCTAATCTCTAATTCTTTCTTTCTTTCTACTTAACAACAAACAAACAAGGCACAAATGTCTCCCTCCCTTCCTCCGAAGCTGAAACGAGCGCGCGCTCACATTTGCCCCGCCTATAAATTCATGCTTATAGGCACCCATTCGAGTGGTGAGTGTGTGCAATCCAATCGAACGCCCCAAAAAAATATTTAACAAAAAGAGGAACACAAAAACGACAGAGCGCGCCTCCACTCACTCACCACACGCGCACCACCAAACACGCACTCAACTTCACACAAAACACCGCACATTTCTTACTCATAATTCTCTCGTTCCATTCAATCATCATCAACTGCACCCCCACTGCCCCAAAAACCCTAACTCGTTCCGCAGAGCCATGGCTGCCGAGTCAACTCAGATGCAGCAGGCCCAACTCGCCGCGATTCTCGGCCAAGACCCTGCCCCCTTCGAAACCCTAATCTCCCACCTCATGTCCTCCTCCAACGAGCAACGATCCCAGGCCGAGTCAATCTTCAATCTCATCAAGCAGACCGATCCCAACTCCCTCGCTCTCAAACTCGCCAGCTTCTCTCTTCTTCTCACCACGTCGAGGCCCGAGCCATGTCCGCTATTCTCTCCGCAAGCAACTCACTCGGGACGACTCCTACATCTGGCCCCGCCTTCCCCCGCCACTCAATCCGCCATCAAGTCCGTGCTCCTGACTCGATTCAGAACGAGAATTCTAAGAGCATAATTAAGAAGTTGTGCGACACGATTTCCGAATTGGCCTCGTCGATTCTACCGGATAACGAATGGCCCGAGATTTTGCCATTCATGTTTCAATGCGTCACCTCCAGCGACGCGAAATTGCAGGAGTCCGCCTTTTTGATCTTCTCCCAACTCGCCCAGTACATAGGGGACACGCTCGTTCCGTATATCAAGGACTTGCACGCCGTTTTTCTGCAGGTTTTGAATCATTCGGCCAGTTCGGATGTGAGGATTGCGGCGTTGAGCGCTGTGATTAATTTCATCCAGTGCTTGAACAGCGCTAGTGATCGGGACAGGTTTCAGGATTTACTCCCTGCCATGATGAGAACGTTGACCGAGGCTTTGAACGGGGCGCAGGAGGCTACTGCTCAAGAGGCGCTGGAGTTGTTGATCGAGTTAGCTGGGACCGA